TTGCGGGCACGACACTAGAGATGAACAATTGAAATACAGACTATGACGGCTTAGTTTGAGTTTACTACTAGAGCGAGAACAAGATCTTTTCTACTTTTATACGCGGCGGTAAACTATAGGAAATACAGATATTACTAAGCGGGCTATGCTTATGTAATACACTAGAGACTACAGATGGAAAATTCGTTCAAATACTCTTCCTAACAAATTCAAGAGCTAATGGCCATACCGATTTAACAATTATTTATTTTACATAATTAAAATGTCATGTTGAAAAACAAAGAACAACAATAGCAAGTACAAACGTTAGACTATATCTTTACAATGCTGGTAGACTATTTCAGATGAAGAATTTCACTTCGCAGCATAACAGGGTTTACTATCCCAATTCGTTTGGCTCAAAGTTCTTCAGATCAACAGCAATAGCGATTGAGAAGCAGTTTTGTTTCAATAGAACTAACGCATTTATGGTCGCGAGTATATTTTCGAATGGCGAGTATAAAGGTTTGATGGTTATAGACAAATTTGACGGAAATGGATCTTTACAGTTCGTTCAGACGAGAAGTTCTTGAGAACCTTTAAATGACTTTCAACTCAAATGAACAAATATTATGGATTTCAAAAAAAACGACTCTTAGCTAAAATGAACATACTATCTGAAAACTAGAATATGACAGATGAACTCCACCGTTTCATTTCAAGATTTGAAGACTTAAGCCTCCAAGAGATACGAGAGTTTTTATTTTGGGTAGACAGAACGTTTGGGCACCAATTTCTTCGGTTACTAAACCAGATACACAATTACCACCAGATGGGTCCATTAAATTAACTTCCACCAGCAGATTTTGATGTTTATAGAAAACGTTCTTGACCTCAAAATGTTATTTTCATGCAAGTTTCAGTTAAAGAATAGTTTTCTATGTATTGGTAAGGACTTTTATGACTTTGCTTCTAAATTCTACGAACCATCTAGTAACAGTTTCTCTGACTTTCAAGTTTGGTTCACAACAAATGGTGTGCAACATATTATTCCATTGTACTATGACTTTTATCTCGAATTGTCTTTCATATATAACTACGGAAAAGTGCTGAAAAAGTATTGAATGTGAAGATATTAGAAAATAACATTTTTTCTAACATCGTAGAAAACTCATGAAAACAATTTATTTTTGACACTTTCACAAAAAACATAAAAAAAGTGAAGTTAAAATGAGATGTTTACTGAACTGGTTGGATGCCGCCTTCTGAAGTTATGTAGAACGGCTGACCCGAGAAGTGGAACAGTGCTCTGAGAATTTGTATAATTCGTGGAATTGGACTCTCTCTGTTTGGAAGTTGTATCCATGGGCGCTTTGCAAAGAACTTGAGAAGAGCTTCTTTCTTCATCTCCTTTATGTCGTCTACAGGAGTGTTTTCTGGTATTTGAATTGGAATTCCGGTTTCAATTTCGATTTTCAGCGCACCTCTTCCAGACAACCAGAAGCCGAGGGACTTGTTGGCTTTGTCCTTGCCCAAGTACTGCTTAACAACTTCATTTATCTCTATAAGGTAAATTGCCTCATCTAATGGCTCGATGTTGTCCATTGTACTGTTTCAGAACTAGTCTTGTACTTTTTCAGAACAAGACTTGTACTGTTTCAGAACAAGACTTGTACTGTTTCAGAACAATACTTGTACTTTTCAGAACAATACTTGTACTTTTTCAGAACAAGACTTGAACTTTTTCAGAACAAATTTCCCGTAAAAGCTCTCAATTTGTGAGAAAAATTTTCTGTTTCAGAACAATACTTGTACTGTTTCAGAACAATACTTGTACTGTTTCAGAACAATACTTGTACTGTTTCAGAACAATACTTGTACTGTTTCAGAACAATACTTGTACTGCTTCAGAACAATACTTGTACTGTTTCAGAACAATACTTGTACTGTTTCAGAACAATACTTGTACTGTTTCAGAACAATACTTGTACTGTTTCAGAACAATACTTGTACTGTTTCAGAACAATACTTGTACTGTTTCAGAACAATGTCCGACGTACCACCAACCGAGTCCATTCCCAAACCAGAGGAACCTAAAGAACCACAATTCCAATTCCAATCTCAGTCCAAGAGAGACCAAGACTTCGAAGAAGGTCTGAACCGCTTACGCAAAGAGTATGCTACAGCTCCAATTGAGAGAAAGTTGTTCCCGGACCAAAAAATATAATTTAGGTGAAGAGGTGAGATTTCACCTCTTTTTTCACCTGTTTTTTCACCCTCTTGAATTTTCATGAATTTCCTTAAGATAGAAAAAATAAAGTTAGTTTTATACAAAATTCATGCAGGAAATTCTTGAGTTTTGGTTGAAAGAATACGGTGGAGCCAAAAGTGGCTCGACCTCAAAACAAGCATTTTATGAGCTTACTAAGGGCGTTATGAATGAATTCAAAGGTATTTACATACATCCTGACCTCGTTCATTTTGTTGCTGAATTCAGCAAAAATAATGTTTAGGTGAAGAGGTGAGATTTCACCTCTTTTTTCACCTGTTTTTTCACCCTCTTGAATTTTCATGAATTTCCTTAAGATAGAAAAAATAAAGTTAGTTTTATTTTTATTTATTTTTTTATTTTGTATGTAAGAACAGAAATGTCAACAATCGGCACAACAACAATTCAAACAACAACAGCACCAAACTCGTTAGTCATGAATCCAACATCTATGTTAGTAGAAATGAAAAGCTTCATTCCTTCTTCATATACTTTCGAAACAGAAATACAAAGAATAAAGCAAGAACTTTTAACAAGTAATTTAGACTGTAGTGCGAAAGATGAAACAAATGAACAGTATCTTTATGAAATGCAGGACCTCATCGACCATTTGCCTAAACTACCTGAAATCCAACAACAAAAGCTCACTATTCCTGAATTCGACGAAATTGAAGTCAAAGCAACTGACTCAGTAGAAATAAAGAAGTTCATACGAAAAGGTAAATTATGAATTCCTTGGTTTTCATTGCAACCATAAAGTTATGGACAAAGATTGCGACATGTTATATAAGAACATCTCTGACATATATAAATCTGGGGAGTTTAAGACATACGACAACTTTGTTTCATTAGCTGCAAAATGTGTATGGCAGATAAGAGATAAAGATAGAAGAGGTAAGGTATGGAATGAACAGATAAAACCAACTGCTTCAGATTTAAAGAAAACCATTGACGCCTTGGTTGTTTTAGCAGGTAAGGTTTCAGAATATAACGCAAAAATGAACCCGCAATGTTCTAAATGTAAAGCGGCAATAAGAAAATATAACTACTCAGTCAAAGAGATAGAAAGAATGAGAAACGACTATGCAGACTTAAAGAAAGAAGCAGAGAAGCCGGTAGAAAATAAAATGGACATGTTAGAATTTCTGAACAAAAACTATCCAACTGCTGACGATTTCCTTCTATCTGACGTCAAGAAGAAGTATAAAGAAACTTTCGGCATTGTTAAAACATTCGATGTACTAAAAGAAGAAATAGAAGCTACGAAATTGTTTAGGATTTCAAATATACATCGTACAATTCATGTAAAACGCTTATAAAATAACTGGGGTGAAAAATTAGGTGAAAAAACAGGTGAAATCTCACCTCTTCACCTAAAATATATTTTTGCTGAATTCAGCAACAAAATTCTGAGTAAAATAATTTTTAGGGCTTGTGTCAAACCGTTGAGTTTTCACAAAATTTAAAAAATAACGTTTACCATGTAAAACGCTTATAAAATAACTGGGGTAGAAATGAGGTGAAAAAACAGGTGAAATCTCACCTCTTCACCTAAATTATATTTTTGCTGAAAAATGACCAAAAATCATGAATTTCCTCATATGCTTGCTTCCCTCGGAAAACCGAGAGAAGAGATTCCGTACGAAAATCGCAAGAATTTGGCTCCTGGTTTGAAAGGATATTATGTACATAGACTTTTAGTAAATGCTGTAGCAATGTGGGCTTCACCTAAATTATATTTTTGCTGAATTCAGCACAAAAATCATGAATTTTCATAAGATAGAAAAAATAAAGTTAGTTTTTTATAAAATATTTTTTTATTTTGTATGTAAAGACAGATATGTCAAACATTGAGTTTGAAACAGTTAGAAAGATAGACAATGACACCAAAGTGGTTAGAATAGGTGATTTAAACGTAAGATACTCAAAGAAATACAACAAATATTCTTTGTCAGACATTATAACACCATCTGGAAAGAAAACAAAGGACTGGGTTAGAATTGCTTCTACTCAGAAAATTTTGACAAGAAATCCTGAGCTTATGATATCGGTAAGATTCTATGGAACTACAGCATATCTCATCGACAAAAGTCTTATACCAATAGTTTTGTTATGGTTAGACCCAGTTGTTGGATATAACTTCATAACATATGGTTCATTCGATACGGAACGTTGCAGTGAAGGCTTACTTTACATCGTTCAGAAACCGAAGGACTTCAATACAAAGAGATATAAGATAGGAAGAACATATAATATAACTCAAAGATATGACAGTACAGTCAATAGAGTCAAGGTTGTGTTTTGTTAATGATATGAGAGCTGCAGAAACAGAACTACTTGAAAAGTTTGAGAAAATGTATGGTGCTCCCATAAAAGGTAAAGAAACGTTTGAAGTAGATGAGATAGATAAAGCTATAAAATTATTTGACGAAGTTGCTGAAAAATACATGTAAAGCGTTTATTTTTGGTCTTTTGTGAAAGTCAGAAAATAACGCTAATTTTTTTCTAACAAATTTTTTTATTTTGTATGTAAAGACAGATATGTCAACAACAGAGAACACAACAACAGTTATAGTCCATGAAGCTATAAATGAAGAATACGAGTGGGTTCAGTTTAACAAACAACTCCGTCTCATTCGTTCGGTCAAAGACGATATGTACCAAATGCAAAGTATTTTGACAGCATGTTATGCTCCAGATACTAAGCTTCCTAAAGACTGGTTTAGGAACCAAAGCACACAAGAACTTTTGAGCGAAGCACAGCGAGACATACTTTTTTCTGAAAACGGTGAAGAACAGCGAGTAGGTAAAAAAACCCAGTCGCCAAAACTCTATGAAAATCGTGAAAAATTGCCAAACGGTTTGAGAGGATATTATGTACATAGACTTCTTGTAAATGCTGTTGCAATGTGGGCTTCGCCTCGTTATGCTTGGTATATTTACAGACTTCTTGACGAAATTCATAGACAAGAACGTGAAGAGATGGAAAACAAGCTTGAAGCAAAAGACAAAAGCATCAGAAAAGAATACCACGTTCGGTACCAAAAAGGAAAGGAAAAGAACTATAAGTATATGATTTATACTGAAGAATGGAAAATGAAGAAGATAAAGATATGGTTATGTTGCATTTAGTCAGAAGAAACAACAAAAGCTTTTACGACCTTGCTAAGATTTACAAATCTGACAGAAATTGGTTCTATCGCGAAAACTTACCGATTTCAATGACCCCAAATGAAGATGTGAAACAAATAGTTCATTTACTCTTTATTTTTATTGACTTTTTACAATTTGAACTTTGTTTGCGTAGATATGAATTCTGAAAGAAGTATGAGGGTCTTGTATGACTTTGTACTTCTCCCATAGTTCATGTCTGTCAAACTTACCTGCCATGGACTCTTTCATAAGTTCCATGAAATCGTCTTCGGACAATCCGGGGAAAAGTATTATGTCAGTAAGTATTCTTTTAACATCCTTACTTAAACTCTTGGCTGTCTGTACACAAATGACAACTGAAATGTTAAAGTGTCTGAGCTTCTTAAGAATTCGACACATATCTTGTTCTCTGTTCTTTAACAAAGGATGAGAGGCGAAATCATCTAAGATAGAAGACACCTATGAGGGTAAGTCTTCCAATCGTAAGATTGCAATTTCTTCGAAATGTATTCTATCTCTTTCTGTTTGTTTCTGAAGTGTTTCTTCTCTAATATTCTCTGCATTTCCTCATTTGGGTCTTTAAACTTCGAATTTATATACTCATTTATAGCATTATACTTCAAAAACTCTTCTTTGGTACTTCTTTATCCAATCTAACAACTCAGTATCCTTTATACATACTAACTTAGACTTCTTTATAATATCTTTGAACAAATTGACGGTTTGGTCAAATTGACCAGAAGTACTACAAATAACAACTAACTCATAGAATGGGTTCTTCTCATCTAGTTCTTGTTGTTGTGCAGCCATTTTAAGATAAGTGAAAGTCTTACCAGACCCAAGTGGTGCAATTAGACCTGTTATACCATTCTGAGCAAATAAGAACTTGTCATGTATAGGCTTTATCTGAGCATTTTCTAACTTCCTCTTGTTCTTGTTTAAAACATTCTCAAATTTCTTGTCAATGTCAGCAAACTTTTTTCTAACATATTTTTAGAAAAATTAAAATTTTTATCTTTTAGAAAATGTCTAGCGATTTCGCTATTTATATTCGAGACAAGCTTTTCGACAGCAAAACATCTATCGACCATAAAATCTTACACAGTGTAAACAAGAAAGGTGAATTTGTTCTAAAGTTCTGTTTCTGGGAATATGACAAGAACCATAAAACATTAAGCAGAACAGTCTTAAAATTTGTCAATGACAGACTTGTTGACAGAGATGACGCCGATTGGAAAGATGAAGTCCAACAAAAGTTCTTAGAATGCAAAGAAGACACATGCGCTGTTCTTGAAGATGAAATAGAAAACAGAATAGATGAGCTATTAAAGGACAAAGAACTTTTACATAAATATGGTTGCGCCAAATTTAACATAACTCCACCAGAAAAGAAGAAGAGAGAAAAAGAGAAAAGAAAGTAGAAGAAGAGAAGAAAGAACCTGAACCAGTTCCAGAGAAAAAGAAATTTGACATGTAAAAATAAAATTTTATTTTTAGAACATTTCTGGGTCAATGTCAATGTTCTCTTCCTCTTTAGGAGTAAACACTGGCTTAGACTCTAAAATCTTTTTACCCAATTTACCTTGAACTTCTACAACTTTAGACTCATAATATTCATAGTCGTCTGTCTTCTTTGGTTCATAAGGTATAACAAGTTTGTATGCTTTGCCTTCTTTAAGGTTTGAGAACCTTCTGTCAAAACTTTCTTGACTGTAACAAACCTTCTATGTCTAAGTCTTCAAATTTCGCACCATTTTTAGTCACAATAGCAAACTTAACTGGTTCGATGTTCCAAACTTTGCTGAATGAAGACTTTTTCAAAATGGTAGAAGTAAACATTCAAATATGTGAATGGGTCTAGTTCTTCTTTAAGTCCTGACATGTACTTATTTACTGAGATGAATTTTGCCATCTTTTCTATCGGATAAAAAAATATTTTTTTTAAATTTACTCAGAAAAATTTTTCTTTGTATATACACCATTCTGAACATCTAAAAGACTTTTGACATTTGCCAAGAATGTACGTTTAGAAGCTGCCATATAACCATATTCTTGACAATATTGTTTATATTCATCATATAAAGACTTTTCATCTAAACACTCAAAGTCGCTTTCTTCTATGAACAGTTCATATACACTCTTGTTTGCTTCTAACAATGTTTGTCTCTCTTCTGTATGTGGAATTTGTCTTGGATTGAACTTAGAAATATCTAATGTCATGAAATATGAGAACAAGTGGTTGTAAAGTCAGATGTCAAAGTTTCTGCAAAGTCGTCAAAATATTCTGTATCTTGCATATGAGGATCTGACGTTCTGACAACTACATATCTTCTGTCAGAACTTTCTAACTTCATCGGAACAGCATTGTTTGAAACCATAATGAAGTTTTGCAACATTTTCACAAAACTCTTTGGTCTTTATACTTTCTTTCAACAACTCCAACTTTGTCTGTTATAAGACTCTTCAAAGCATCTGAGTTCAAAACTTTTGTTGTATCTATACTTTGAAGTTCATTGCAAACTATAAGTTTCATATTCTCTATTGAGGAGTTAAACTTGCCACAGATGTTTTCTAAGTTTGTCATATTAGGGTTCGAATAACCTTCGAACAGTTTGCACAAAATATCTGTAAAGAAAGTATTCTTACCAGTCCTTGTTTTCCAATTATAATGAGAGCAGTTTCATTTTTAGCACTTGGATGTTGTAAGATGTTTGCAAACCAACATAAGATATACTCATAAACCTTTTCGTTTCCATTGCATATAATTTCTTTGACATGGTCTAACCAAGCTTTATAATATTTTCTTTCCATTCTACTTGTTCGTATTTATATCCAGTGAAGATAGAATAGAAGTTTGGAGAAGGTGTATAAAACTTTATACACGAACTGAAAATCTTCTAACTTTGACAATAAGATATCCCAAGCATCTAACATCTTCATGCCAACTTGTACGACTTTTATTTTCTTAAGTTTCTGTCTACATTCTTGTTCTGAAACTATTGTCGCTTTAGGTTTGTTAAAGACTACATCCCATTCTTTCATGACATAACATTCTGGGGCAGAGTCAACATAAATGACTAAACGTTTCAAATTCTCGACTGCTTTGTTATAGTCTCTAAATGGACACATATTTCTGAATGCTTGGAAGTCATAAAAATCTGAAACATCTATTCTGTACATTTTTATAAGAATAAAAAAATAATATTTTTTTATTCTTGACTTTGTTGTTCTTGAGCTATTTGTTGCATTTGTTGTTCTTGAGCTATTTGTTGTTGAAGTTGTTCTTGTAATACAATACTTTCACCAGTTGCATCTTCCAATTCGAAACTTTCTGCTGTCATTGACAAATACATAGGACATAAAAGTTTTACAGGAACAAAGTTTGCGTCAACTAATGTCAACGTTATACTTGCCAAAGTGTTTGAGTTCACTAAGGTTGAAAATTCTGCATTCGAATGAACAATAGGCAAACCAGCAGAGAAAGTATTGTTTATACGCATAAGTATCTTTTGGTCATAATAGTTTCTGTCGACATTCGAATAACACTTTGAACCTAAGTTTGAAACAATATATAAGATTGGTGTGCTTAATGTCAATGGAATAGACATTCCTTGTATGACACCTTTTCCTGTTATAGGAAACTGTTGGTAGTAAAACCAGATATAAGTTTTGTATTATAGCTCATATCGTTTATAGTAAACTCAGTCGGACATCCAAACATAATGAAACCTGCTCTAGTGCAGCACATGTTACACCCGTACTTAAAGTATTAAATAAGTCAACAAAACCTGTTGGTGGTATATCTGAGTAAGTATCTTCAAAGGAGTATTTTTTACCATTCACAACAATAAAGTCTTCTGATGTCAAAAGAGCAAAACAGGCTTTAGTCGTCATTGTGTTTAAGGTTAGTTTACAATACCGTCCTTGAGGACTTTGTAAGTTTGTTGTTATAGAATTATATGACTCAGGGTTTTTAGTCGTAATAGTATAAACCATTATGTCTTCTGCCATTTACTTAGCAAATAAATTTTAATGAAATGTTGTGGTCGTCAAATATTTTATAACGTCTGGGAAACTATATTTTAAGTTCAACGTTTCACCTCCTTTCATAACGTATATCTTGTCAATGACATTATATGAAACACCACAGCAACTAATATCGGGTTCTATTTCTTTGATGTTTATATCGTCTGCCTCTGTCAAAAGTTTCAATAGTTCTTTCAAAACTTCATGAGGTGCAATGACATATGAGTTCACTTTTACAGGGTTGTGTTCGACCAAGTTTAACATTATACTTAAAGCTTGACAAATCTTCTCCTGAGTTTGAAGTTTGTCTTTCAGTTGTTGGTAGTCGTTTCGAATATCTGCAACAGAACTTAAGTCTCTGCTAACTTCAGGATATGTTGGTTCTTTTACAGGAACAATTGTTATACCATCTTCGTCTTCGTATGGTTTCCCCACTTCAACATCTCTGTCTTTGACATTTGACAACAACACTTTGACTGTTTGTTTGAGTTGGTGAATTTAACTTCACATCTGCCACCGCCATTAAACCTTTTGAAACACTTACGCTTCTATTTTTCGGAAATGACATTTTACTTAGAATAAAAAGATGGACGTATTCGGATATCTTATTGAATTGAAGCAGAACAAAGTTTATACTCACAAACAATACAAATACATTGACAGAATAGTTCTTTACACAAACAATGGAAAATGTTATAGAATAGCAGTCTTTGCTGAACCAAAATATTTTCATAAAGCAAAGAAAGTTGGTATAACTGAAATGGTGAAAGTTCTTGAAGCAGACAAAAATATAACTTCAAAACTGACCGATATTACTAAAGGAAAGTTTATAATACAATTATTATGTCAAAACTGGCGTACTGTCAATATTTGACGGAGAGAAGTCAGTTCAAGAACAACTTACTGACCTGCTGCCAAAATCTGCTCGATGGAAGCTGTCGTTATGCCAATCTGAGGAGCCCCAGCAGGTTTCATCGAACGAATCTTCAAAAGAGCATCTTCCGTGAAAAGTGCTATTGGTTTTGTAAACTTCTTTGCTCTCAATTCATCTGGACCGTCTCTGTCACCAGTATATTGTATTTGAACTGTACCAACAGTTGAAATACCACCCATAAAGTCTTCTGAGTCAGCAAATGGAATGCCAAGCCAAAAGTTTGAACGGTCTCCATTTGTATATTGAGTTTTTTGACCTCCTGTATGAGTCCATACTTTCACATATGGCATAATAGAACTTTGCATTTCAGGGTTAATGGTTGTTGTGAAGTTGTTGTTAAAGTTCATAGCATCTAATGTCAAGTTGTATGACCTCATATCCTCAACTGTAGAATATTCTTCTCTTGGATAATATTTGCCATCTATGTTTATATGATATTTAATACCGGGGTTGTAGAAACAAGAATAGTCATTTATAGTTCGTCTGAACAGTACAAACATAGTATCTGCATGTTTCATTGCAGTTGTTAAAGCAATATCTGTTCTTGCACCTGGGTCAGCACTTTGGTTTCCAACTTCACCTGCAAAGTCTTTGACAGATATTTGGTGTATAGGGAACATAAGTGGAACTGCAATATATTTGGCAGCTAAAGCATTTGAAATATCTGGGTCCAACATATAGACTGCAAGTCTGCTTTCTATTCTCTTGCATTCAAATTTTTCGCATGTAAACTTAACTGGGTCCCAAGCAGTTCCAGCAGCATTGAAATAATAGTTTACTTCATTGTTGAGGTTTGAGAAACCAAAGTCTAAGTCAACTTTGTCTTTGCAAAAGTCACAGAACTTGGCTCCACCAGTTCCAGCTACAGTAATGCTGAATGGGTCTTGTGTTGGTGCAATGACTAAGTTATTTTGCTTGGAGTAAGTTCGATAGAAATTTTTCCTGCACAGTTTGGCAAGTATCTTAAAACCTGAAGATGAGGAAAGATGACAAAGGAACTCTAAGTTTCAGTTTTACTTTGGTTACTGCTGCAGCAGTTTGTCCAGAAAGGTTAACATAAACTCCTGGAACGTTAGGGTCAAGTCTTCTTATTTCTCAATAGTTGCATACTGGTCTGTTTGTTCTCTAGCTTGTGGTTGTACTGAGTTTCTCAAAGCGAACCATTCATAGTTTGCCCATGTTACTGTTTGAACTAAGTCAGAGTTAGAATATATCTTATATCCCATGAAAACTTCTGGAGCATATTGGTATCCGACATAGAAAATTCCATTGCAACCTTTCTTGTCAGACAACTTGGCAGAAGGTTTTATTTCAATGTCTTGTTCCACGTATAAAGAATGAGTTGTCAATAGAAATAATATGAAACCTGTCGCAAGCAATATCTACTGTTGTTGAAGAACCTTCTCCAAACTCACCTACGTTTCCATAAGAAACAGCAGTTGTATATTCGTAAGTTCCAGGAACTATTTCTGACCTTCTAATGGCATTGTCGCATTCGTTATACCATTCGGAAACATTTCCGTTCATGGCATCCAAAACTGTTGGCGTTATATTCTGAGCGGCGTACATTTCATATGGGTAAAAATATAGAATAGTTGGATTTATGTGTCATAATAGAACCCACTCGACCAAGCTTTACTTTCTTCCTGACTGAGTTTTTAACTCTTCTTTTTCCTTCATTGCCACTACTTTCACTAGATGAAGTTACTTCTTCACTACTTTCACTTTGTTCTACTCTTCTTCTTTGGTGTCGCTTTTGGTAACTTGCCCTCTGCTTCAAGTTGTTGCATCTTTGCCTCATGTTCACCTAGTATGTTGTAAATTTCCCATGTCCTTTTTGCCTTTGGGCTCTGGTCGCCCATCTCAGGTAACCTATATCCTAGAAAGATTTTGTCATAGTTTGTATTTGAGTCTTCGCGTATTGTTTGCATGACTCTTTCCTGAGTTTCCGGTTCAAGCTCTTCAAACAGAGCTTGTCCATATGGAATAAGCTCGTTTCCAAATATATGTTTTTGTAGCCATTCTGGTTTTCTTTCCATGTTACCAATAATATCTTTTGTGAATGGGAAAGCTTTTACCCAATGTTTCAGTCTTGCGTCATTTATTTCTGTAGTTGGTTTTATTTTGTCAAGGAACATGTTTTTCAATACTAACATTTCATTTGGTACTGTCCATTTGAGTTTTCTTAAATATTCATCCCTTCTCAGTTCATTGTCTGCAAAGTAAGTTTTTATGACATTTTGCAAACTTTCGTTTGCAAGGTCATGTACAATAGGTTCTCTTCCTTCTCTCTCCCTAACTTTCTTTCTAAACTCTTCACCAAATATACCATCTCTATGGTTCTGTGTAGTTCTTTGAGATAAATGTTCTAGAACGTCAGGTGTTATATTTCCATCAGCCATGTTCATTTCATACTGGTCCAAAATATCTGCATGTTTCATATCTTTCAATGGCATTAAAGCCGCGCTGAAAATACCAGCTATATCTGGTTCACCATTCACTTCCATTGCGTCTACAACTTCTTGGAATTGAGGTTGTAAGTTTATGAACCACCTATCCGGATTAGCTTTATGACCCCATCTCATTGTAGTTCCATAGTCTGCAGAAACAAAAGTAGGTTTGTTTCCATATTGGTTAGGTTCTGAATGAACTTTAAACAATGTTTCATTTCTATATGTTTTGTTGAAATTTAACCTTTTATTTTCACCGAGTTCAGCCAAAGATTGAACGTTATATGGTCGTAAGTAAAAAGGATTATTGTATTTGCGTACATTATCTTCAGTACTTCCATTCTATGCTGAATATTTTCATCTGATGTTGGAGTCTTTTGTATGTCGGCGAACATTTTTCGATATTCTTCTACTATGTCAGCCGAATTTTTCTTAGACTCTTGGAAAGATTCCATATTCACCTCATACTCTTTTGAGGGTCAAGATTTTTCGGCTGTTCCAAATCTTCATCTAGTTCTGTGAAGTTAGTTTCCAAAGGAGGGACTTGTTCATTTCCTTCAGGCTCTTCTAGCTGTTGTTGCTGAACTATTTCTTCCATGTCTGGTTGTATCTGAACTTCTTCCTGTTGAGTTTCTTGTACCTCATCTGCTGGCATTTCATATATTCCGAGACCGTTTTTAACAAGTTCCCTATCTAAGTCATCCGGACTCATAAACCTTTCTTCTTTCGTTCCGTCTCTATTTTTTACGCGTTTCATGAAGAGAGTTGAATTATCATTTAGCTCTGACACCAAATATCTCGGAGTAAATTCATTCATGTCATTTGGATGATATGCTATTAAATCATATCCCTTAGCGAGCTTGTATTTTCCAGGTTTGAGATTATATCCCATTTGATGCTGAACCATAAAGCTAAATAGGTTCGGGTCAGTATTTCCTTCCTTGAACTTTCTAATAGCTTCTTTATATCTGTCACTAAAGTCAAGAGTATCTGGGTAACCATAATCTTCCTTAAGCATTTTTAAGAATTCTTGGTTTCCTTTTTCTCTACTTCTTTTATGTCCTTGCTCTGTTTGTGGTTGTTGTTGTGCAGGGTTTTGAACTGTTGGTTGTTGTGCAGGGTTTTGAACTGTTGGTTGCTGTGCTGGTTGTGGAGGTGGTTGTTGTGCTGGTTTTGGTTGTGGTGCAGGGTTTTGAACTGTTGGTTTTGGTTGTTGTTGTTGTTGTGCTGGATTTTGAACTGTTGGTTTTGGTTGTTGTTGTGGTGCTGGATTTTGAACTGTTGGTTGTTGTGTTGGTTTTGGTGCATGCCTGTGTCTGTGTCCATGTGACAATGTAAATGTTTTAGGTAGTCCTGGTGCAAGTGCTTCTCTTGGAGGGTTTGGTGGTATATAAGTTCCACCAGCTGGCACATATGTTCCATCTGCAGCATAATGTCCTACCTGACTTTTCGTTCTTAAGAAAGCATTTACTAGGTCTGTTTTGGTCTGTTGTAACTCTTTTTCTTGACTTTCCACAACAGTTGCTCTAACGGCGTCATAGGCACTTTGAACTGCCTGTCTCGTTGCTGCATCTGTTATTTTCGTCATATTTTGTGCTACTTCTCTTAACTCTTTGTCGAAACCTTCAGACTTCAGTTTCTTTCCAGATGAGAAGTCGTTCACTAGTTTCACCTTACTATGAAGAGCTTCGAAGGCATTCTTAAAGTCAGCATTCGTTAAAGCTTCATTTGAACTGTCTTCATCCGCTTGTATTTTTGTCTTTATTGACCCTAGAAGTTGGGCTGCTTTAGCGTTGGCTTGGGCATCTAACCAGTCATTATTAGCTTTTATATATTCTGCGCTTTTCATTGCCTTTTGCATGGCTGCGTCATTATTTTTACTTTCTTGTGCTAAGTTTTCATACTGTACGGTTTGGTTTTGCAACTGTAAAAGTTTTTCTGCCTTTACATTTGCTTCAACTTCTTTTTTATACTCATCGCTATCCATATATGTCTTCAGGGCTTTTTGTTTTATTTCTTCATCTTTCAGTACTTTATATTGAGTAGTATGGTTTTTCAAATTTATAACATCTTGTTCCATTTTTGCTACTTCTGCTGCTTTTTCTGACACTTTTTTCGCATATTCCTCTGTACTTAGTTCTTTCAGTTGTTCTTCTTTCTTCTTTTTCTCTACGTTTAACTCATTGAGTTTCTTTGTGTGTCTGTCATATTCTAGTTTCTTTTCGTTTTCACTTATTTGTTTCTGTATGTCTATGTTTGACTTTTTGACATCTGTTATTTGATTTTTGAGTGAACTCAAATTCATTTGACTTTGAGGGTTATAAGCTGTTCCGTCTGCAGCCCCACCAAAGCCTGCCATTTTCGCTAAAAGTGCCGCTCTTAAACCTCCACTCTGTGCACCAATAACTCGGTTTAAAAGCATAGGGTTGCTTGACATTTGTTGCAACATAGTGGGGTCATTCATCATTTGTTGTTGCAACTGTTGTTGTGGTGTCAGTTTTACTATTGGATGTTTCAATGCTCCCTTCCTCTTACGTATATTCTTACGTAGCTTACGTGGCATTTTAAGTGAAGTAAAAAACGGTTTTTGACAGATGTTTATATGACACTTTTTGTTCAGCACAAAAAACTACTCGGTCAAAGTGTTGTCAGTTTTGTAAAATAACCGTCCTATCTCATTCTATAAGGGGAAAAAGGCTTCTCAAAGTATACTTCCTTGGAACGCCTGTAACTTTTCCTGTAGCGACGATAGACCCTTACTTGTCCGGACAAAGTTATACTATTTTGAGTGCTCTACAAAAAAGTCAACGGCTGGTCGGCTGGGGTTCGGTCCTCCTCTTGGGTCTTGGGAAAAATTTCTTATGGGCTAGAGGGCGCAACGCGCCTGGAAGCCCTCCGAATATAAACTTCATTTATACTAAACATCTTCAGGGCTAGAGGGCGCAACGCGCCTGGAAGCCCCACTACCTTTTTTTTATTATAAGTATAATTTCAAAATTTCTTTTTTTCACAAAAAAAAATTGATAATTGAATGGAACAAATAGTTCGTTTTTTTAGATGTTTTCTTCTAAATACTGGCGCTTATACTAGATAGAAACTTCTATCGGTATTCTCGGCGTAATACTTTCGTATGAGTGATGCTATCTCGGACATAGTCAGAGATTAATCTTTCGACGAAATGGTAGAAATATTTCTTTTGAAATATTTTAGGGGCTCTGAGGAACAGCCAGAAGGTCTCCGCCATTTCAACCGTACCTAGAAAATTAATCTCAATATATTATGTTGGGTCGTCGCAGTGATTCACTGTTAATCATCACTTTAGCGTTGCTTCGCCAGCTTTAGAATGTATCTAAAAAAGTAGTAATTAATAAAATCTGTAATTATGGAATATTTTACAGGCGTGAAGAATGTAAAAAGTTCTAAAATTACGATTCTCGAACTTATTATTATTTTTGATTGGAATACTATTTTAATATTTCAATCAAAAATAATAATAAGTTCGAGAATCTAATTTTTACTTATGCACCAGTTAAACTTTTATTTTTTAAATAAACTATTTCTATTAAAAGATTTTAAACGTTTTTTTTAAATCTGCACAGTTTCTTAATTTCGAGTTTAAAATGATATATACTAGAATATATAGATATGATTAAATTGTATGAAAGATTTTAAACGTTTTTTAATTCTTCACAGTTTCTTAATTTCAAGTTTAAAATGATATATATTAGGATATCTAGATATGATTAAATTGATTGGGTTTCATTATTTATTAATTTTGAACTCTATTTCAAATTTGATAAGATTTTTATATCTTTTAATCACTTCATTTATCAACATGGATGAACCATGCGATGAAGATATCATCACCAAGATAAAAGAATCCAGAAGGGCGAACATTGTTGTTACTGTTACACCTGAGAATTCCGACACAGATGAAGAGCCATTAAATGAAGAAGAGGCAAAAGAGATGACATTGACCAATCCAATGCCCAGGTTCTCGATTTCAATATTCATCAGGATGCATCCAAAGCTCCAGCTCCGATCATTGTGCAACTTCACATATGAACAGTTGGAATACCTCGCTGACATTATTGAATCCAACTGTGGAAGGGCCAGAAGAGGAAGGAAGGTCAAATTTTCAACAATCGAGTCTCTCTTCCTCACGCTCACATATTACTGCACATACTTGCCCTATTCAGCATTATGTCCGTTGCTACATATTTCCCAGTCATGCTATTCCAAATTAGTTACAAGAACTACCAATGTTGCATTTCCAATCTTTGCGAGCTATTTTCTTCCCAATCACTGTCCACCGTTAACTTCAATGAAGAACAAATTTACAAACTTCCCTGATGCTGTTGCAGCTGTAGACAGCACTACAATTCCTTTCAACATTCCTTCGGTAAAGGAAGAGAGGCTTTATAGTTGGGATGAAAAAAACCACTGCAACGGTATTAAGCTCCAAGTCCTCGTGTCACCAGATGGAAAAGCCATACATCAAAACGTTGAGTTTATGGCTGCAGTCCATGACAAGAAGATTTTCGATTTGTCAAAAGTCTCGGATTTTTTGACAGTAAAGCGAGGATTTGATGATTACCAATATCCTGTACTTGCCGACCGGGGCTATATTGGAATCCAGAAATATCACCTTACTGCCGTGGTGATGAAGAGAAGCCACGAAGAAGCAGACGTTGAACGCAACAACGCCATTGCCCAAGACAGGCAGATTGTCGAGCGTTTCTTTGCACGTTTCAAGTCATGCTGGTCCTGCATGAAAAATGGTTTTCGAGGTGAGCGCACATCACTTCCTCTGATCATATCAGGTTTAGTCGGTTTGACAAATTATAACATTGATGGATCACCCCTGAATGATAATGAAGAGTTACTCCTTTTCGAAGATTTTACACCAACAAAGGTTCTTCCTTCAAGCGATACCGTCGCTGCTGTTGTTGCACCCTCCATGAAACCATCAAAGCGGAACATCATTGCTGTCGCTCATCAAGCTGTCGATATCATACAGTCATCACAAGAGGCGAACTACCTTTACCCAATTAAAGGTGGTATTGTTGGTCTTCATAATATGGGAAATACGTGTCATTTGAACGTATGTTTACAGGTTCTGTTCTACATATCCGAAGTGAGAACAGAAGTTTTGAAGGTTGCCAATCAGTCCTCTCCCATCGTAACAGAGATGTCAAGTATCTTTACAAATTTGAATTCATTGAAGTCCAAAGGATTAGTCTTCGTTCCCCATGAACTTGCCACATTACTTGGTAACTCAACATATGAGGCACAAGATTGTGATGACACGATGACAAGATTGATCACAGATCTCGCAGAGCAAATACCAGGAATCGGTCAACTCTTCCGAATCACTTACCGTGATAGTGCCAACGAACAAACAAATTGCTACTCGATTCACACCAGAATTGGAGAACCAGATCTCGATCATGCCATTCAACATCATTTGTCAACTACAAGGAACACATCATGGCCACAATTCTTGACTTTCGACATTCAGAGAGAGTGGCAGAATGATTCGATTCATCAAGTCATCTTTGACTTCCCGAAAAAGTTGACACTCCCAACAGTCGAAAGGCAAAGATATCAATTGGTTGCAATTGTTGCCTATTGCAATTTTCATTACGTGGTCTTTTTGCAAAAAAGTGCATATTGGATCATGATCAATGATGAAGTCGCATACTCTGTTCCATCAACAGATATCAATGCATTGAAGGGATGCTCAACTGCTGAGATGCCACCTTTATGGTACAAGACTCTCGAACACAAATGGCTCGCAAAGATGCTCATTTATCGAATGGTTCAATGAAGAAAATCCATAACATTCTCCTAAGATTTTTTTTAATTTATCTCAATTAAAAATTTTATTATATCCTAAATTAATTTTGTAAACTATTTTTGAATAGTTTACAATTTATCCTAATGGAACCCATATGCGGGTTCAATTTCTGGTTTATCATCTAGATATATTATGAAAGCCACTTAAAGGGTGATTGATTTTAGGATGTTCTTAGAAGATTTTTCGTTCATTTATATTAATTTTGTATTCCCGATTTACATTCACTAGCAAATCAATGCATTTCACACTTTAAATGACAATTAAATTCTAAGACATTGCTAGAACTGCAATTTCCATAAAAAGTTTTAGTGTAAATTGCTTAAATAAATAATTATTTTCATTATTTTTCTCCAACAAGCTTGAAAATCAAACGAAAACTTTACAAAATACTTATTTACTCATTTGTAAATATAAATTTCTAACAATTTTTATCCTGAATTTAACATAATACTGTATTTCTAAAATTTGCACTAGTTCATTCCTAATTGATGCTCGGATTTCGGTATTCCATATGTGGTATTACATATTTCAATAAAAGGCACTTAATGTGCATTTTCTAATTCAATTAGATTTGCACATTAAGTGCCTTATTATTATAATAACTTTAATATGGAATAAGTCGAGTTTATTCCAATATACGAGCTTATGCTCATATGTCGGGTTAAAATCTGGCGTTTGGCAATGTCGCAAAACGCCGATATGCTAATTCCTAAAAGAATTTTTTTATGAAAAAATTCTTTATTCGCAAAAGGTATAGTATTTGCTCATGTACGAACATATGCGAGAAATTCCCAATATAACAATAGATTCGAATATTGAATTAATAAATATTAATTTTTATATACGATCAAATTTCGTCCAAAATTTTATGACAAAAGATCTATTTTTTGTTATCATCATCCTGTTTTGCATGATTTCCTCTCATTTATATTGATTTCGGCTCTTAATGACAATTTTTTATTCTTCAAAAAAATTAGAATTTCGTTTTCATTCATTTAGCATTACATTTATTAAAACATCTCATAAAATATTTATTACAAAATGATCACACTCTGTTGTTATCAATAACAAAATTAATTTGCAGTAATTTGTTGAATTTTTGCTTTGATTTGAGGTATATCTACGCCAATTATTGTTGCTAATTCTTGGATTTGGTTTCCTGGACTTCCTTTAAAGAATTTGATTTGTGGAATTGAACATATACCATAATGAGCTATTAATTCAACGGCTTCTTCTGTGTTTACTCTAAAAAATGTTATTCTTGGCAATTCGCGAGCAAGACCTGGAAGTTTTTCATTTAAATGAGTACAAGTTGGATTCCATGTTGCATAGAAAGAAACAACTACTAGCCCAGACGCATTATTTACAGCTTGGCATAGATCTTCATAATTTCCAGCAAAGTTATTTATGTTTTGGGGATCCATTTTTTCACGTTATTTTGCTATTTTTTTTATCATTTCTCTTACATTATTTATCTCTTTCACAAAGTTTTGATATCATATATCGATTTTTATGAACATAGACAACAGATTCCTTTAATAATTCATTTATATTTCCAATTCGTCAAAATCACAATTTGGATATCCTTCGATTTCTTGAATCTCATTTATATACTAATTATAAAAATATCACAGAGTTTACAGATCAAGACATAAATACATCTAAAAACCATTTATCAAAATGAAATAATAATATGAACGTTAAAAAAACAGTCAAGCAAAAAATTTTAATAAAAACAAGTAAGTATAACAACTAATAGTAAACAGAAACATATATTAGATATCTATTCTTCCCATTGCTGCAGAACCATCCCAGCTTGCTGCAACAATCGTATTATCGTTTACGAAATTAACTTCTGAGACAGTGTACGAGAAAGGAGTTGACTCAATTATGGAATATTGCATGGAAAGCAAATTAAGAATCCTCATTTTGCCAATTTCGCAAGGAATGACAACGTTATCGCCATGAACAGTAAACTTAGTGCAAACTCTGTTGATATCTACTGTTTCAAATGGTATATTTGGCGATCGCAAATCCCATACGTTGATTTTCTCATCAGAATTGCCACTGATAAGGAAATTCTTGGCATTTGAGGTAGTAGCGTACTTAACTTGCACTATTGAACCATTTCCATGCGTTAATGTTGATTTCGAATCTGGAGATTTTGAATCAATGAGAGTTATTTCGCCTGAAGCAGTTCCAACAGCTATAGGCATATCAGTATCGTATTGTACATCTACTGATCTGATTGGTGACTTCAAGCTTTCGCTTCTGTAGCTGTTTTTCGATTGTAAAACATCCCACATAAGTAAAACTCCATCCTGAGAGCCAGAAATCAAGTGGCCTTCCGCATCAAGCCAGCATGCACTTGTTACTGGTCCATTGTGTCCGGAGAGAGTAGTATTCGCATAAATGGTTGAGATGACTTGGTAATCTGAACGAGTCATCAAATTATTAAGTGGTTGCGGTGACCAAATGTTAATCATTGAGTCTCCTGAGCATGAAGCATAGATTCCTGCTTTAGGATGTGCTGTGATACAGTTTATTGCTCCTTGATGACCTAAAACTTTTGTAATTAAGCGATTTTCGGTTGTTGAGTAGACATAAATTGCAGCATCGATCGAACCAAAGGCAATATTGTTATCGTACCCGACGTTGACGCATAACAACGAATCCGAAAATTCTACAGGTATCAAATTCCAGTCTATTTTTAGTTTTTGCTTCATCTGCCAGAATGATGACGACTGCCTTTTCTTATCACTCAATCTTTCGCCAGATGAGGACTTTCTTCGACGAGGTCTAGCTTCATTCTGTGAAACATTAAGTTGTGCTTTGAGCAATGCGATTTCTGCCCTTAAGTCAGCGTTTTCTTTCATAAGCGCTTCGTATTTACTTGCAATAGTACCGATGCATACATGAAAATCAGTCGATGTCATTTAAAAATCTGTAAACCTATGAAAAGGTTTGAAAGAAATTTGACATATTTCACAATTTCTCGTAATAAAAATGATCAATTATTGTTTACCAATCATTTTTACAGAAATATCGTTTATTAACAAAATTGAAAGGCTGACATACAAAAATTTTGTAAATACTATCAATGACGAAATTCTGAATAATTTGTACACGTTACCGGAATCAATACCAATGGAATGATAAGATTGATGCAATAACAAAACCACGACGAATTAGGTTCAAATCAAAATTGAAATCATGTCACTGCAACGAAAACGAGTTTCATCGATTGGGATTTATGTAATTGGTTCAAACATAACTAATCCTCTGATTTAATCGAATAATATTTCAATCATAAAATGGCACTCAAACATTTTGCATAATTTCAAAATTCAATGAACAATCTTGGTCTTTTTATCTTGTTTCCATTCATATTTTATCATTGAATATTAATATTACAACAAGATCCGCAAAAAATACTACAATGGAAGACTTTTCTCTCATAAACAGAGCATGATAAACGATTGATCCTCCACTAGCAATCAAAAATAATGTTTCAGCAATTTTTTTTCCTTTTTCTTCAAGAGAATTGCGCATTTCAATGATATTCAATTGAATAGGCTTGTACTTTGCGTTCAATTCTGTCTGAAACTCATCAAAATTTGTGAAATGTAGACTTTTGGTCGGTTTTTTGTTCAATACATTGTATTTCGTTGGCGTAATACTATCCAGATTGAATCTCTTCCTAAATGTGTCGTGCATTTTTGGAAGACTGTATCCAGTGAATTCATGTGCAACCTCACGAGGATGAATATAATATAATTCATCACTTCTAACAAACTCAAGTGCAAAAAATGGGCAATATTGATTATTTTACATTCAATTTACTTTCTAATGAAAATCTTCTTCGAAAATACCAGAAAACTAAAGAATATATTATGTAAGAACATTATATTTTGGCACCATGTGAAATAAGAACTTTAGCAGTTTCTTTGCTATTACATTCTGTTGCAATATGAAGTGCGGTTTTCCTCTTTCTATCTTTTTCATTGATATTTATACCATATGAAACAAGAACTTCTGCCATCTCTTCACAATTCTTTGCTGCTGCTATATGAAGTGCAGTTTTCCTCTTTTTATCTTTTTCATTGATATTTATACCATGTGAAATAAGAACTTCTGCAGTTTCTGTACTATTATGTTCTGCTGCAATATGAAGTGCTGTTTGTCCGTTATTATCTTTTTCATTGATATTTGCACCATGTGAAATAAGACGTTCAGCTGCTCTTTTACTATTATAATCTGATGCAATATGAAGAGCAGTTCGTCCATATTTATCTTTTTCATTGATATTTGCACCATGTGATATAAGAACTTCGGCAGTTTCTTTTCTATTATATTCTGATGCAAAATGAAGAGCGGTTTGTCCATGCTTATTTTTTTCATTAATATTTGCACCATGTGAAATAAGAACTTCGGCAGTTTCTTTTCTATTATATTCTGATGCAAAATGAAGAGCGGTTTGTCCATGCTTATTTTTTTCATTAATATTTGCACCATGTGAAATAAGAACTTTTGCAATTTCTATACTATAATCTTCTGCTGCAATATGAAGAGCAGTATCTCCATTATTATCTTTTTCATTGATATTTGCACCATGTGAAATAAGAACTTCAGCAGTTTCTTTACTATTATACCATGCTGCAATATGAAGAGCAGTTCGTCCATATTTATCTTTTTCATTGATATTTGCACCATGTGATATAAGAACTTCGGCAGTTTCTTTTCTATTATATTCTGATGCAAAATGAAGAGCGGTTTTTCCATGTTTATTTTTTTCATTAATATTTGCACCATGTGAAATAAGAAGTTCTGCGATCTCTTCACTATTATTTTCTACTGCAATATGAAGTGCAGTTTCTTCATATTTATCTTTTTCATTGATATTTGCACCATGTGAAATAAGAATATCTGTTATTTCTTTACAATTATTCTCTACTGCAATATGGAGAGCGGTTTTCCTCTTTTTATCTTTTTCATTGATATTTATACCATGTGAAATAAGAACTTCTGCAGTTTCTGTACTATTATGTTCTGCTGCAATATGAAGTGCTGTTTGTCCGTTATTATCTTTTTCATTGATATTTGCACCATGTGAAATAAGAACTTCTGCAGTTTCTGTACTATTATGTTCTGCTGCAATATGAAGTGCTGTTTGTCCGTTATTATCTTTTTCATTGATATTTGCACCATGTGAAATAAGAACTTCGGCAGTTTCTGTACTATTATGTTCTGCTGCAATATGAAGAGCAGTATATCCATCATCATCTTTTTCATTGATATTTGCACCATGTGAAATAAGAACTTCTGCAGTTTCTTTTTTATTATATTGTGCTGCAATATGAAGTGCAGTTTTCCTCTTTTTATCTTTTTCATTGATATTTATACCATGTGAAATAAGAACTTCAGCAGTTTCTGTACTATTATGTTCTGCTGCAGTATGAAGTGCTGTTTGTCCGTTATTATCTTTTTCATTGATATTTGCACCATGTGAAATAAGAACTTCAGCTGTTTCTTTATTATTATTTTTTGCTGCAAAATGAAGAGCGGTTTTCCTCTTTTTATCTTTTTCATTGATATTTATACCATGTGAAATAAGAACTTCAGCAGTTTCTGTACTATTATGTTCTGCTGCAGTATGAAGTGCTGTTTGTCCGTTATTATCTTTTTCATTGATATTTGCACCATGTGAAATAAGAACTTCAGCTGTTTCTTTATTATTATTTTTTGCTGCAAAATGAAGAGCGGTTTTCCTCTTTTTATCTTTTTCATTGATATTCGCACCATGTGAAAGGAAGTCTTCCAAAAAGGATGGATTATTAAAAATCGGTGAAAAAACAAAGCATTTGTTTATATCATTAGTTTGATCGAAATAAACTAAATAGGATTCAAAATTGTTGTAAAGTCCACAGTATTTTAAATTGATCTCTAATTTGTATTCATTCATCAAGAATGTAACAAAATCAATGTTGTGCGAGATAATTGCATATTTCATGCATTCTTCATCTGGTTTTTGATATTTCAAACATTCACTCATGATCTCCGGATTTCCTCCTAAAAATGATAATAGAAGACATTTTGCAGTTATTTCTGAGCTGAATTTTGTTCTTAAAAACTTGAAACAATCAACTGCTCCGTGGTAACAACATAATTCAAGTAATGAATATTCTTCGTAAGGATGTGGGTATAATCTGCTTTTAAGTTTTTGATCTGTATCAAATCCTTGCCTTTCGGTGAATGAGATGAATTTTTCTTTGTCATTATTCATAATTGCTCTGTAAATTGTATTTTCTGTATGAATATCCAGATTTTCCGAGTCAAAGAATTCAAAATCGGCAGATTTGTCTAATTTAATTCCATATTCTTTAAAAAACAGGAAGTTTGAAATAAGTGCAACACTTTTGACCTCTGTGACATGGTAATCATCAGATATGAGTTTGGCAAGAAATAAATATGACTTTGTATAGCGATTATTATACGGAACGATATCTAAAATGCCTTTAATAGCATTTGTTGGGAGATATTTCTTTGAATCAATCAATTCTGTTTTGATCATTTTGTAAATTGACTTTAATTCTTCTTCATTTTCCGTTTTTAGCTGGTACAATGTATTGTATGAATCGATATAGTATTTATGGGTGGTTCGCAATTTGTTGTATTTGCTTGGATGAACGTCTTGGTCGGACATTAATAATTTTTTATAATATATTTGCGTTTTACTATATTAAATATCCCTTAAATTCATTAAAAAAATACTATGTTATTCATGAGGAAAACAATGACCATCAAAATTTCGGATATAATTTATGAATTTTGATTAAGTCCATGCATATGAAATGATGCAGTAACAATTGAAAAACCAATGGAAATAGAATTTTCATCAATATACTTGTATTATTCAAGATTTTTTTTGCCAATCACTCAAAATCAATCAATTCTTTGGAAAAAAATATTTTTTGTAGATTTATAATGTAAAAAATGTGAAGCACCAATAGAATTGACTTAAAAAAATTTCATTTGAAAAGGTAACTAAACTCCTTTCGCCGATCCGATTTGCTCCATATTTAAAATATAGCTTGCATATGTAGAAGAAAAGCTAATTTTGAAGTACGCCCGAAATCCACCAACAGGATTTCGAGCTACTAAAAAGATACTTTTAAATGTGATTTTTTTTATAAAAAATTAAATTTATTTTAAGATCAGACTAAAAACTAATTTTATGGAAAATCTATATCGACAAATTTATTACTTATTGGGTATATAGATTTTTTGATTATGGCGATTATGTCTGATATGCTTCCAATAAGCCAAAACACATTTCATACTGATTTCTATAAAAGGTATCTTTATTATAGAAGTGTAAGCTATATCTGTTTGTTTTTTTATTATAACAAATTCAAAATTCTCTTATAAGGACTAGATGAAATCTGTATTATTAAATCATTAGCTAAATGAAGGTTCAAATAGAAAGTAAATATCAATTTATATGATACTGAAACCAAATAGTTCTTTTAATAAAAGATAACACGCTGAAAATTATTGAGTATTTGCAAATCTCAAAAATCTATTGGTGAATTTGGCTCAACTTTTAAAATTATAACATCCATATCAAATCATAAAAGCAGACAAAAATTAAAGCCAAACCTATCGGCCAATTTTTTTTTGATATTTTGATTTTTGAGGTATACTTTTAAAAGTGGATTTAAAGCACTTATGAAAAAACATTAACTTCTGTCGTTATGATTATTGATTTAGACAATAATGATTTTAATCTTTGATTATCAAAACACTAAAGTCATCTTTTTAACATTTGCTTGGTAGCATTAACTCAAGTCTAAAGTACTATTTTATGTGGCACTCTTAGAATTTTTGTATTCATTGTACACGCTGAAATAGTACCATTAAAGTTATGGCGGACTTTCAAAAAATAGTTTGGTCACCTTTTCATTTGAAGGATATAAAGAGAATTAGATTGAAATAAAAGAATTTTTTAGATGACCATGAGACAATAAAAGAATTTTTTTAGATGCCCATAAAATAATTCTTTTATCGAAGCGTTATAATATCTACGTATTCTGCTTCTAAAGAATGTTTTAGATAAACATGAGAAGAGCCAAAGTTATTTTTATAAAAGAAAATTTAGATGACCATGAAACAATATAAAACGATAAAAGAATAAAATAAATTATAAGAAAACTCTTGTAAAGACTAAGACAGCAATATCAAGGGATTTCTCATTATTCTTAGTGAACGATCTTGCGAGGTATGATATAATTGTTGGAACATCTGCTTGAATTCCGTCAGCTTTCCACTTCTTCAAGACTTCTGTGAAGAATCCAGTGATCATGTGGAAGAGTGTTTTGTTGCATTCAGGAAGGCTGTTGATAAGGTTCATGAATTCCTTCTTTTCGTCCTTTTGTTCCCATCCTTTCAAAAGATCATAGGAGAAAATCGGTTCTTTCGTGCATTCGATGATGGAGAACAAGACAGAGAATAATCCATATTGAGTAAACTTACCTTTGATGTCTTTTCTCTCTTTCAAATTGTTCGCGATTATTGACATTTCTTCTGATTGGCCTGGCTTCGTGAAAATCTGTGGATCGTTTATTACTGGCTTCAATGCATCCAAAAGAGCATTGAGTTCGTAGCATTCCGATACACGAGCCGGGTAATTCATGATTTGCGCAGTTTTGTAGTCATTTGAATCGCGAGGGATGAAGAGTTCGGCTGGTAATCTGGATAATTCCACTGGAAGTCTGTATAAATACTCAAGAGGCAATCCGATTGGGCTAAGATTGAATTGAGCGGTAAGGAGAATGAAATTCGGAGGCTTTCCTGATGGATAACAGATCTTTACGTACTTAACAAACTGTGCGGTAGTGACAGGATCCGTAACTTGAGAGGCCGCATCAATATTAACCGAAATAAGGAGCTCGATGTCCTTATCTGGTATAACTGTTGCGCGCTGTGGATGGCAAGTAATCCAGCAAGCATCGGTTTGGACTTGGAAAAGAACAGGAATTTGACCTTCGTTCTTTAATTTGATAACTTGGGACTTTGGCTCGCCAAGAGAGACGGATTTGAAGTCTATAAAATCTTGTGAAAGGCTTGTGCGCCATTTGAGAACGTCAACCTTAAGTTTGATCTCATCATATAATTTCATCGCTTTGTCGTGATCGTTCTGCCAAACGCGCATTGAGAAATCAGCGGCTACTGGGTGGTGATCAGACATCAGGAGGCCTTTGATCGAATTGTATGACTTTTGCTGGATAAATTGGATTGGTCCTGGAATTCTGTGGAAAATACGGTCACACCATGCAGGGCCACGTTGCTTTGAGGATGTATCAAGTGTTTCTGTACCTTTATCGAATTTGTAAGTCGGTCTGAACTTGATTTCTGCTTCATTATATCCAACAAAGACTTTATTCTGCTTGTGGGCGAGAATAAGTTGGTCATGCTGTAGCAAATAAGCTGTTTCATTGAATTTCTCACGTGATTCTGGGTCAGGGAGCGTCAAACGGTAATTAAAATCTCCAGACCACCAAATTGCATCGTGGTCATCGACTCCGAACTCTCCTACAGGGGTCTGGAAGACGAGCTCACTCTGAATAATCCAGAATTCGGAGTTTCTGCGTTCAACGTTCTTTCGGCCATGAGATAAATGGGAACAAATGAAACAAAGATTCGTATCGTGGTATTGGAAGCGTACAGCTACAGCTGTTTTATTGAAGAATCCCATAGCACCAATTGTGCATGTTGCTGTAGCTACATTCGAAATAAGGTTTGGATCTCTTACGAAAACCGAAATGTAAGAAGTGCCGAGTTGTATACCTCCAGCGTATTGATATGTCTCGACATTGGCTGTTAAAGCAGCTCCTAAAGCCTTATCCCAGGCTTCCTTTTTCTCTTTGGAGTCGCCATGCATAATTGCATCCATTGACATATCAATTTCTTGGAAGCAGAATACGTAGATATCATAACGCTTCGATAATTCGCCGAAAAGGAGATCAACATTCTCCGGTGGCTTCTTTTGGTCAATGTTCCATGTAACAACATGCACTGACTTATCGAAATATTCTCTGAAGCTCTTTTCTTGCTGTAAAAGCATAGCAATAGCGATCGGATCATCTACATTTGCTCCAGAGAGTCTAAATATTGATTTATAGTCATATCCAGTACGGACTTTGGCTAATCCTTTGCAAAGTCTGTCCGAAGCTTCTCTGTTGAAGAAGCAATCGTAAATTTCTTTATCGGTAATTTTATTGCGGGCAAGCTCTGTTATTTTGGTAGTTAACAATTTCATAAAACTGATCATGTGAGCTTTGGCTTCAAATTCAATAGTATATTCGTATGTTCCGTTTGATAATAATATGTATGGGTAATTGCATTTAAAAAGGATACCTGGTGTGATCGGAAATACATAGCAATACTTCTGATAAACACATCCAGATGCAGAGAAATACAATGCTGAGACGCGAGGATCTTGAATAGGATTAACTAATGAAATAAAAGAGCTATTAAATTCTTTATCGCACATGACTTTGCAAGGAAAGGTATTCACTGCGCGTAATTGCACAGATTTCGTATCTATACTTGCATAAGTAGATGGCGCTGATGACATTTTTTAGTTTATCGTCTATCTCTCTTTCATTAACATAGTTGCCATTGATCTAATTTTGATGAAGATATATGGTTCATAAGCACTAAAATAGGTAGTAGCTTACTATAAACACATTTTTAACCCTTAATTTAGAATCATGGTTCGGATTTGAATCGGATTTAGCAATCGAAAGCTATTTGATTATTTGTTCCATCTGGTGGGTCGTAATCTTCAGGAACATATGCTAATTCAAATCCATCCATATTTGCATTGAAAAGTTTTTCATTCAAATTTAAAATTCAAAATTTGAAAAACAATACATCGAGATAATAATATTAACTTTCAATCATATTTCAATAGCTCTCAATTTTTTTGTCACATAATTGACGGGAAAATGAATTTGATGATTTATGATATTATCAGCAATTAAGCATTCAAAAAAGAGTGTGTTATGATTCGGAATCGAAGACGACATAACTCAGAACAAAACTAAGGAATAATATGAAAACTAATGGAAACACATTGTAAAGGAGTAAACACATTAAATATCCCCATAATAATGCTATTGTTTCGGGAAAAAGATGTCGAAGACAAGAAAAAGCAGTCGAGGGCAGGAAAAAGCTGTCGCAGTTTTAATAAATGATATAATAATGATATAAACTATGACCATAATCTATTTAGTATGAAATGAACCAAATTTAATCACATTTGAGAAATATAGGAATATATTAAAAATTCTGCAATAAGGCCGTGAACAATGCTTACAATTTTCCCTCCTTCCTTTTCAGTTTGTTACTTCCTCTTACATCTCTCAATTTTACTTCCTCATTGTTAATGCTGTTCAGAGATGAGGGTGCCTGATCATGATCAGAGAAGAATGATGTGAAGAGAAAGAATCACAGCAAGATGTGTTTCCATCTCGGACTACTCTTGTCAGAATATTCAATTGATTTCGACCTGTTATCTGATTCTTAACAATTTATCAAATATATGAATGCATCTCTAGCCTATAAAATTAATGATGTGCCTTTTCATACAGATTTCATGAAAATTCCTTGAATTTTCAAGAAATTACAATAATTCTTCAGAGAATATTCAGTGAAAATGGGACCATTACAATGAGCATTGGAGAGGATGGCTAATTGTCAATAATATCTCCGCTTTGATGAATTTTCACAATTCATTAAAAAAACACATATTTTTTCAGCTTAAAAAGCAGATACAATGCTATTTAAGTCAAACTATGTTGTGAATAAACATTTATTTTGGTATACAGTCTCTATTTAAAAGTAAATTTTAGTCAACAGGTTTATTTCCCAAAAGGAAGATATGCACTACGTTTCTATCGTTTCTTCGACAGGTTTTTTTTCAGGTGACTGTATTATTTTTCTTTCAAAAAAAAAATTCTAGATTTTTGACTAGTCAAAGTTTTTTTTTCATTATGAGTTCTGACTATTCTAAACAATATGCGGATTTTATAGGGGCGCTTGAAAAGCTCTTCCACATAGAATCTAATGAACCTGTCGAAGATATGTGCAGTATAATTACAAATACTTTGATTTCGAAGTATCAACTTTCAATCAAGCAACTTACAAAGTTAATTCATGAGGCAATTAGATACAAATATGCATCCGGAGCGAATTACTTCAAAATACTCAAACAGCTCGGGGCTGATCTCACCGAAGTATCGTATTATCATTTTGAAACGGAGGGTTCGATTAAATTTATAGTTATGCATGATCAAATTGATAAGTTCAAAGAATACTTAACTCAAAATTCAATATCGGGTGGCATTTTTCTCCAAATTCCTAATTTCAGGAACAATGCTTACAATCATGGTTATTTTGCAGAGTTATCACTAATTGAGGCATGTGCCTACTTTGGATCTGTTAACATTTTTTATTTCTTGATTTCGAACCAAATCAGTGAAATAACTGAAAGGTGTCGTATCTACTCAGTAATTGGAGGAAATCAAGACATCATCAACGAATGCATGAAAGAAAATAAAATGGATATTGATTGTCTCAGAAGCATTATACGGGCACACAATCACGAATTGCTTGAATATGTTTTAGATAGAGAGATATTCGAGCTTGATGATTTATACGGTGAGCATTGGAAATGGGAAAAAGAAACGAATTTGATGCATGATGAAAAATATACATCCATTTATGAAGATATCATCAGATATCAAAACCTTAATGCTGTATTTCTTCTATTCAAAAGGAACAAATATTACATCTTTCCATGGGGTGCTGCATTTCCGCAAACAATAGATATTTTCAAAAACAATACATTTTCTAACAAACATAATCACACTAAATATGGAATTATTTATTTTGCAAGTAAAGCACAAAATTCTAATATTTGCAGATTATTACTTGAGTCATACAATCAAATTATAGTCAACAATAATGAAGGAGATGATGAATGTATTTCACACGAATCAAATATCAATGAAAAAGATAAAAATGGAAAAACCGCTCTTCATTTTGCAGCAAAAAATAATAATAACGAAACAACTGAACTTCTTATTTCACATGGAGCAAATATCAATGAAAAAGATAATAATGAAGCAACAGCTCTTCATTATGCAGCAAAAAATAATAGTAAAGAAACAGCTGAAGTTCTTATTTCACATGGTGCAAATATCAATGAAAAAGATAAAGATGGAAAAACCGCTCTTCATTATGCAGCAAGAAAAAATAGTAAAGAAACAGCCGAACTTCTTATTTCACATGGTGCAAATATCAATGAAAAAGATAATATGGGAGACACTGCTCTTCATAGTGCAGCAAAAAATAATAGAAAAGAAACAGCCGAACTTCTTATTTCACATGGTGCAAATATCAATGAAAAAGATAATATGGGAGACACTGCTCTTCATAGTGCAGCAAAAAATAATAGTAAAGAAACAGCCGAGCTTCTTATTTCACATGGTGCAAATATCAATGAAAAAGATAATATGGGAGACACTGCTCTTCATAGTGCAGCATATTATATTAGTAAAGAAACAGCCGAACTTCTTATTTCACATGGTGCAAATATTAATGAAAAAGATAATGATGGACGAACCGCACTTCATTTTGCAGCAGAATATAATAGTAAAGAAACAGCCGAACTTCTTATTTCACATGGTGCAAATATCAATGAAAAAGATAATGATGGACGAACCGCACTTCATTTTGCAGCAGAATATAATAGTAAAGAAACAGCCGAGCTTCTTATTTCACATGGTGCAAATATCAATGAAAAAGATAATGATGGACGAACCGCACTTCATATTGCAGCAGAACATAATAGTACAGAAACTGCAGAAGTTCTTATTTCACATGGTGCAAATATCAATGAAAAAGATAATATGGGAGACACTGCTCTTCATAGTGCAGCAAAAAATAATAGAAAAGAAACAGCCGAACTTCTTATTTCACATGGTGCAAATATCAATGAAAAAGATAATATGGGAGACACTGCTCTTCATAGTGCAGCAAAAAATAATAGTAAAGAAACAGCCGAGCTTCTTATTTCACATGGTGCAAATATCAATGAAAAAGATAATATGGGAGACACTGCTCTTCATAGTGCAGCATATTATATTAGTAAAGAAACAGCCGAACTTCTTATTTCACATGGTGCAAATATTAATGAAAAAGATAATGATGGACGAACCGCACTTCATATTGCCGCAGAAAATAATAGTGAAGAGATCACAAAACTTCTTATTTCACATGGTGCAAATATCAATGAAAAAAATAAACATGGAAAAACCGCTCTTCATGCTGCAGCAATAAATAATAGCAAAGAAACAGCCAAACTTCTTATTTCATATGGAGCAAATATCAATGAAAATGATAATTACCTGTAAATGGAGGCGTCTTCATAATTTCCTAAAGTAAATAAACGTACTCAGAATTCATATTAAAGTTATCATCGCAAAGGAATTACGGTCAGAATTAAACTCTTATTATATATCTTTTCATAAATTTTTAAATTCAGATTACTTCCTACGGGCCTGAAGTATCATTGAAAATCAACCTTAAACAACAAATTTGAATGTTGAATCAGAAAATCGAAAACTACAATATGAATCCTACGATATCAAATTATTGAAATTGATTTCAATTATGATAAGTGAAGGGAAAATGATAGTTTGATGTGTCACTTTTTGGAATATTCCACTTTTCATTTTTCAAGATTTATGGTTTGGATAATCAAGTAATACTCTTTCCGTTATGTATGGTATTCCTTTTTTGAGTTACTGTAAAACACCGATCATATAAAATTTACAAATAGTTTAGTCGGTTTTTGCATTTTTAAAATGTTAGTCACCTTTCTCCTTCCAAAGTGAAAAAAAATTGTTTAAAATATAAAAAGAATTTTTATTCGCATAGGCGACAAACAAGGATTTATAAATAAATAATGGGGCTTTGAGTATTGATCTGAATTGAATCAGATAATTAGCCGTAAAAAATCTTCTAATAACGATTTCTCATGCATGAAAGATGGCTATGAGTGGCGTTAATGAGGGCGTTTGATAATTGGAGTTGGACATAAAATTTGGAGATCTTAATTTTTGAGAATTTTGGTGCGATCTTACTGGTACAAGCAAGAGTATGGAAGGAGATTGAACTGAGAAAAAAACTAGAGCATGCAAAAGAATCATGCTACAGCTTAGTTGAATGTCATTTATGCAAATAAAAATATCTTTTTCAAATTTCAAACAAATTTTTGCCACTTTTTGAAAGAAGATAAGGTAACAAACATTTTAAAATGCAAAACCTAGACTTAAACTATGCCGAAATGTGAGCTCACCGTTACGGTTTTTTCTTTGGGGGCGAGCTTGCGAGCCCCAAAAAAAAAAAAACCGTAACGGTGACTAACATTTAGGAAAAATTTTCGGAATTGAATGGTGAATTGACCCACTTGTTCATTTTTATTGAAGCAATGCTCTCTTCAATATCCTCATTCTCCCGCTTCGCTCTTGAACACTTCGAAGGTAACGTTGATGCCCTTAAAGCCTATGTTAACAAGAAGGATGGCCTTGTTGTTGTTGATTTCTTTGCTGATTGGTGCGGACCATGCAAGCAAATCGGCAAGATCCTCCCATCCATTGCCGACAAGTACCCAAAGGTTACATTCCTTAAGGCTAACGTCGATGAATCAGCTGATCTTGCTGAACATTTCAAAGTTGAAGTAGTTCCACAATTCAAGTTCTTCAAGAAGGGTGGCGAATTCAAGGAAATCAGAACCATTGTTGGCGCTGATGTTGACACTCTTAACAAGTACGTTGAAGAGCTTCAGTAAAGAATTCAATTAGTATACAGGTAAAATTTACATTCTATTTTGATATTTAGCATTATGTTCGAAGAAGTTTATCAATTAATATTAAATTTTAAAAACATAATTTGATTTTTTTCATTTTCATTTTTTTATATTGTTTTATGTGATCTATATGACAGACAAATATAATAGGTTGAATAAGGGTAATATCCAACTCAAATAGTCACCTTAACTGAATTAGAGAATATGAATTATTAATTTCTGCTTGAATTAGAAGTTATTCAAATCACCAAAATATAACATGACTGAACAAAAAGGATTCATCCTTTTAGAGTGATATTAACTTGCATTTAATTTTCCGAAAAAATATAAATTCAAACTATATCAAATATTTACAATACATGATAGAAATATTTATAAAACATTAGAAATTCATATCATTATTCCACATAAAATTAGAAATGTCATCATTCTCAAAAGTATAGCTATCAATTTCAGGTTGGGGACTCTGTGGCTGCTCCTGAATCGGCTCTACTTGCTTTGGAGGCTCTATGTATTCGGGAGGAGGTGCGGAATAATATTGAGATGAATTATTCGGGATTATCTCTTTTTTTTGCTCAACCTGAGGCTGTAATGGCTGTGGAGTGCAGTAGGGGATGTTTTGCACTTGATATGTTCTTTGTATGAATTCTGCAAGTTTTGAAGGATTTGGCGTAGCTGAAATCAACTGTCTGATAGTCCACTGTCGAAGTTCAGCGAAATTATTCTTTAGTTCGGGGAACGCTTTGATTAATTCACTGCAAGAATCGGCTCCTGCAGGAATTGTACCATAACCTAACTGTTGGAAAGAACCATTGATTGAAGACTTGCATTTTGAAAGAATTTTAATCAATTGGCGGGTGTTGATTGCGATAGAATCTTTTAGCCAATAAATACCACATACTAAAGCGCGATTTTTATCATCTGCATCACCTCGAATAACGTAAGTTTTCAAAGAATCAATGATTTCTCTAAAAGTCTCTGCACTTTTATTTCTTCGATTTTTGCAATTTGGACTTGAAAGAGAAGCCCGAAGTGATACATACATTAGTTTATCTGTATCACTGAGCCTTTCCCAGTATTTTGGTGGTGGATCTGGCATTTCTTGAGTCATTTTTTATATAAATACTGAATTGAATCGATCCAAAAATTTTTTGTCAAAAAAATGAGATTATGCGGCCAAATAATATCACACGCAATTCTCATTGTTAATAGCTATTTGGTATTGAATGTACAGATAAATCATTGCTTTTATTAGTAGTATATGAGGGAGGGTTGTGTGACCTTTTTTGTAATCGTAAGAATTCTCACATAATTGAATGATTTTTGAACATACTTCTGAATAGCAGATTTTAAAAATTTATGAATAATTTATAAAAAGTTTTTATTCCTACAATTCCTATATTACCATTAATAAAAAGAATATATTTTTGCATAGATTCCAAATATGGTGTCAATTTTTTATTTAATATAAAATGTATGGAAAAAGAATAATATCTGATTTTGAACATTATTTGATTGATTTACTAATTGATCCACAAAGCTGTTGTAAAATTAATTTTGAATTTAAAATTAAAGGAACCGTAAATTTTGTATTTATTTATCACTTAAAAGAATATGACCGATATCATAATTTGATATATGAAACTAATATAATATTTGAAGATAACAAACTTACAAGCTTCGAACATGAAAATGATATAATATTCGAAGATGAAAAAAAGAAAGAGATTGAAAAGCAATTCAATGAATGCCTTTTAAATACATATGCGCACATTATAAGACATAAAATGAAATTAATTCCTTATTAATCAAAAATATTTTTTATCTTTTATTTTATAATAAATGAGTATAACAACTAATTCATTGAAATCTTTAAAGTTCACTAATTCAGAATTAGAAAATATTTTAGAAAATTTTGGAGACGGTTCTTATCCAACATATATGCAGAATGTGAAAGAGTTTTCTAGATTGTTGAATGAATTTAAATATAACGGACCAATTACTAAAAAGGCTATAATGAGATATTTATATCCCAAAAAAGTTGAAAAACAGGAGAATATTCCTCTTTATGGTCCAGAGGACCTGGGCTCAGAGAGCCTTGAAACACCTCCTGAATATTTTGAAGAAAAAATTAAACAAGATGAATATTATAACGATGAGATTGAGAAATTGGAACAATTAAGAGATGAAATAGATGAAAAAATTAAAGAATTAAGAAATGCTGAAAATGAAGTAGAGGATTTAATGAATATCCCAGCTTCAGAATCAGAAGTTCAAAAATCACATGAGGAAAGATATAAAAATTACTTTTTGGAATCTACTAAAAATTTATTAGATGGTGATATTGACGAAACACTTTCAGAAGAAGGCACAAAATTTATTCATAAACATAAGTTACAATTTATTGACGATGGAGATTATCCATGTATATTACTTTCACCTCCTCTTGATTCTGAAAAATTCAAAAAAGCACTGAAAAACGTGACATATGCAACAAATACGATTAAGAAAGAAGACCATGATATTTACACAAATTATTATTTAAATAAATGTACAGGTGTTGATAAAGTTTTTGATTTGTTAGATAAAATATCAAAAGAAACAATTGGTACATATAAAATTTTATGTGATTGTGGTTTCATTGTTGAAGATACCGTTGATGTTTCATATGAAAGAACAGCTCCGAAGGAGGACGAAGTGGAAAGATCTATTCCATTCGTTATTAAGAACATAAAAGATATGAAAACTTATAAACATTATATTTATTCATTTATTTCAGAAAAAATGGAAGCAACACATAAATCATCTCGTCATCATTTCATAGCTATTCACACATTCCTTTTCAAAGTTGTGAAATTAAATAAGACAGGAATTAGATTTAATGTATCAGGGTACGCATTCTTGAGTAAATTAAAATGTATTCGTCCGTCGCAGATGATAAAAATTTATGTGTTCTTAATTCATTTTATGGACTTTAGCCCTGGACTCTCTGAGTCTCAGACTTTAAAAAAATAAACTTTATTTTTATTTTTTAATTTTTATTCTTACATAAATGAACAAAAACGGAACGGCTAAAATGAATGATAATCAAATTAGAGCAGAAGGTAGAAGGTTATTTAAACGCTTCTATAACATTCCTGATGGTGTTAATCCTAAAACTCGTAGAAGTTATTTAAATGAAGCCATAGATGCATATGAAGGTTTGACATTTCATCAGAAAGTGAGAGGTTAGCAAGAATGTTAAACGTTAATATTGATTTCTATTATTGTGACCCTCAACCAGAAGACGTAGACATTAACAAGGTAGACTTTCCATTAGTGGAATCAATAATGATAGATCCAGAATTTGAAACAGTAAATATTTTATTAACACAGAGTCCATGTGGAAAACTTCACGCTGACAGAATAACAGACGTTGAAGCACTCACAGGATATAAAGTTTGTCCTTTTGCAAAGAAGAAGTTTATTCTATCCGTGATGACCCAGAAAGGAAAAACCAAAGAAGATTTTTAAAACATTGTGAGAAATGTAAAGAAAATAATGGTAGATTAATTCAAGACGTTCAATTGCAAAACACACAACAACCATATGCACCACATATCACGAAACAGAAGATATATCATGGCTATTAGCACATAATTTGCAGGAATATTATAAACCAACAAGATATTATATTACTTTTGACTTCGAAACATTAGAGACTAAAGAAGAACTTCTACTTTCTGAGTGTGCAACTTTGAACGCTTACTTAAAACCATTTATGGTATCATCAACGGTTAAATTAAACGATAAAACATATACAAGGAATTTTTGCTTAACATCAAGTGATTCGTTCATCTCTGATTGGATTGAGTTTTTATTTTCAACCTGTTCATTAGTTGCTAAATCAAATATTGAACAATATGAAGAATTAATGAAGCCGCAAACGGACCAAACGGCGGGGACTTTGTCCCATACATTAAATGAAAAACAGAAGGAAGCAATGAAAGAGCTTTTAGATGAAGAATTTAATAAAGTGAATATCATAGGTTTTAATTCGGGAAAGTTTGATTTAAATTTAATTCTTCGTGATTTAAATACTGCAAAATGGAAGATAAAATCAATGCTGGGTTCTTCTTCTCAATTTAAGCAAGTCATAGTAAAGAAAACAAACTGTCCATATGAATTGAGATTTATTGACATCAGAAATTATATAGCGGGTGGACATTAGACCAATTCACTCAAGATTTCGGAAACAATAAACACGTGTTAAATCCTTTTTCCCTTATCAATTCATCACATGGGAAATTACGAAGAAGAATTATATAAAAAGGAACCATTCACTCAAGATTCATTTTATTCAGCATTAACACAAGAAACTATATCCGATTCAGATTATCAAATATATCTCAATGATGCTAAAAATTTTAAGAATAGATTAGAATATTTTATTCATTATTGCAATAAAGACGTTGAAATTATGATTGACCCAATTGATAAAATTATTGAAGAAACATTTGTTTATAAAATTGACATGCTCATAATCTTTCATTATCATCGAATGCATCAATGATTCGTTACGCTTTAGCATATAAAGACTTTAATCCTAACGAAACATATCCAGAAGAAGAAAATGTGGAATCAAGTTTTGAATTAACGAAAAAGTATTGGAAATATAAAATTGAATCATATAAGAAACAAGATGAAAAGCAGAAAGAGATACAAAAATAATGTTTCAATGGATGATTTTCAATACTATCACGATTTAATCCTTTCATCTAAATGTAAAATGTGTGGTAAAGCGTTTACATATGCAAATAAACCAACATTGGATAGAATCGATAATGAAAAACCACATACTAAAGAAAATTGTCAGTTAATGTGTTGTTATTGCAATGTCGTAAAATCAAATAAAGATGAAGATGTTCAACGTTTAAGAATCAATTTAAGAAATTATGCATTAAAAAATAATTTACCAATGACTTTAGATTCAGTGGAAGCGTATCACATCCTCCGTAATGGAATTACTGGTGGTCTATCAAATGTTCAACATAGAGTAAATCTTAAAGGAATCACACACATTAATAAACTTTCATATAATCCAGAAACTAAAACTGTATCAAATGAGGACACCACCAACATTATGACTCATTTCGTTGGTGTTGATTTTAATTCATTATATCCTTCATCATTTTCATCTAATCCTCATGATTTCATTCAATATACTGACCATAAAATGTATATGCCGGGAAGATTGAATGGTGTTATCATTTGTGATACAGCAACAAAGAAAGCAAAAGCACTGGGAATTATTAAGAAGAAAAATACTTTATTCGTGGCTGAAGTAAAGGGTCACATTGATGAAAAATACATTAATGATTACATAAACTTTTTACCGATAATAAGAAACTTTGATATTATCACAGATGAAAAAACAATTGGCAGTTTTATGTATAATTACATGAAATCAAACAATTTACCAGTTGACCAGAAACAGAGAAATTAACTCAGTTAGCATCAACACACAACCAATATCAACCATTTTCTTCTTATTATCTTTGGTATCTAATCGACAGATTTCATTTTATCATTGATGATATTCAATCAATTTTAACATTCACGAAAAACACTTGTTTTAATGAATTTGCGAACAAATTTATGAACGAAAGACAAAAGGCTGAATTAGAAGGAAATAAAGGAAAAAGTTTATTTTGCAAGATTTCGCTTAATGGATCATATGGTTACGATGCAATGAATACACAAAATTACGCAAAGACTAAAATAATGAATGCACAGAAGTCACGCGTTGCATGTATGTCAAATAAGTTTAAAAACATAAGAGAAATAGGTGAGGATACATATCAACTGATGCTTAAAGATAGATTTTATAGATGTGAAACATGTTTACAAGAGGCATTCTTCACTTTAGATAACGCAAAATACTGGTATTTTTTTCATTTATGATTTTATGTATAAATGCATGAATCTTAATCGTTTTCATTTCATTGAAGGTGATACTGATTCATCTTATTGGGCAATCGCTGGCGATCCAAATCTTCCTAACACTCAAGCATTTCAAGCAATTGTTACTGATAAACAATTTTATGATAAAAACCATTTTATTAAAAACCATTTGATTTCTTCTGTTTTGATGAGAAATTTAAACCTAAATTAAAGAATAAAGCTGAAGAAAAAGCACATGAGAAGAAGTTATTGGGTTTAGCAATTGAGAAACAAGGAGATAACATGGTTGCTTTATGTCCTAAGTGTTATACATCATTCAACGGAATGATTGATGAAGACTCCTTCAAAAAGATTGCACAAAAAATGAAAGGTGTTAGTTTACGACAAAATAAGCAATTAACACCTAAAAATTATTTGGATATAATAAATGATAAAGTGATATTTGATGGTCAAAATATTAATTTACAACTTAAAAATGGGTCAATGACTCGCTTAACAATTGGTAAGACTGCATTAACAGGAGCACACACTAAGGCTGTATGTTGTGAAAATGGATGTTGTATGCCATTTATTTAATGAAATGCCATAGAAGAGACAAAGAGGTGGGCACCCTTAAACATTGATTTTATTTTTATATAAATGAATAGCGCAGATTTAAAAAATTTAATTGATGATTTAGTATTTAATCAAAATTTTCTTAGTTATTATGAATTAAAATCATATCTCCAAAAATATGATGAAACAATTACAGGTGATGATATGGGTGAATACTATCGGTATTATAAAAATGCAGTTTTGAAATATCATGATAAAATAATTAAACGTTTAAGAGAGAACATTAAAGAAGGAAAATATTCAAAGGGAAAAAGTAAATCACAACTTAAACAGTTGAAAGATTTCAAAAATAAAGTATTAACAGAAGAAGATATTGATGAATTATATAAATTATATAATCCTGAGCCACAAAAACCAAAGGAACAAAAACAAAAGGTGCAAAACACCCAGGTTCAGCAGCTCATAAATGAAGCACAAGCTTTAATTTATGATTCATTAGTTAAACCACATTCAGCCCGACTTTTAAATGAAGATCAACTTTTGGAATTCATCCTTCAACATAAACTCGAAGCGGGAAAGTATATCAAACCTTTATATACAGCATATTTAAAACAAATGAATAGAATACATCCAGAATTAATGAAGGAAGGAATGAAATCCAAAATCAAAGCAGATAAAATTAAACCACTTGCAACACCAAAACCCCAAACAGTACCTCCTCCTCCTTCAGTTAATCCTTCATCATTCACTTTATTATATCCATTTCAAACATTAAAGAAACAAAAAGATTTTAAAAAGGGTTTCAAGATATTAAATAAACCAATTGACCCGAAAATTCAACCGTTAAAAGGAAAAATTTAGTCGTCCATCATTTGCACCTTCACCTTATTCATACGAAATCGATCATCTGGAATATTCAAAAGGAAATATTACTTATTTATTTGCCATTAACATTAACACTAGATATTTATATTGCATTCCGGTGAAAGGGAAAACAGAACAGGAAACAAGAAGAGCTATACAATACTTACTAGATCATGAAAGAGTAGATAATATCAGGGGTGATGGTGATAAAGGATTTCAGGCAGCTATGACTCATTATTTCCCACAAATTAATTTTTACTTCTCATCCTCTCCATATACGTTTCATAATAAAATAGTTGATGCAGTAATGAGAACTCTTAGAGATGCGTTAGGGGTTAACGGTCAGATATACTGGGATGGAAATCATGACTCCATCATACAGCAGTTAGTATATTATTACAATAATACATGGCATAGAACTATTAACATGAAACCAGTGGAAATGAAAAATGATATTTCAAAAGAATGGGAATATATTAGAAAGCAAATGGAAAGGTTGAATGATGTTAAACGTGAACAAATTAATTCGGGGTTCATGAATTTTAAACAAGGGGATAAAGTTTTGATTCATCTCGATTATGGAAAAACTGATAAATCAATGACAAAAAGAAGACGAAGATTTGACACAATAGCTGAATTTGTTAGATATATTAACGGCAATGCATTAGTTGAAGTTGACAATAAATTAATAGAAATTCCGATTTATTTTATTACTCCATTATATTTAAATAATATTTAATTTTTTATTTCGTAAGAAATGAGTGACAACGAAGCAGTCAAGAGTCCAGACGATGAATATAAAAAGAAACTAAACAGAATTAAATCAAAAATATGCTATTACAAAAAGAAGCCACAATGTGGTGGGGTTGAAAACGATGAAGAAATAATCGAAAAATTAGAAACTTACCGTTCAATCCTTAAACTGAGTGAAGCAAAAATAAAAGAATTTAATAGAATAAATAAATTGATTGGAAGAGATGAATTTAATAAAGATGAATTTTTAAACTCAATCCAAATTTAATTTTTATTCCTCTTCGACAACATCTCTCTTTCCATCATTACTGCATAACCACATTTTCTCAGTTTAAGTGGTTTGTTATTTTTAACATGTTCTTGCATCATTTTTATCATTTCCTCCCTTGTTATGATTCGTGGTAAATTTTGAGCTTGTGGGGTATTCATTTATGATAAAAATAAAAATTTAAATTATGCTGTTCTAAAGTTTGTGACAACATGACATTTTGACAACAACACGAGAGGAAGGCAATAATGACTTATTTTTGAAGAACTGAAGGTGTCACCAGGTTGTCATGTTGACGACATGACATTGTGTCAACAACACGAGAGGAAGGCAATAATGACTTATTTTTGAAGAACTGAAGGTGTCACCAGGTCACCATGTGTCACCAGGTCATTTAACTTCTCTGAAAAAATGTGACAACATGACATTTTGACAACAACACGAGAGGAAGGCAATAATGACTTATTTTTGAAGAACTGAAGGTGTCACCAGGTTGTCATGTTGACGACATGACATTGTGTCAACAACACGAGAGGAAGGCAATAATGACTTATTTTTGAAGAACTCAAGGTGTCACCAGGTCACCATGTGTCACCAGGTCATTTAACTTCTTTAAAAAATAGTGACAACATGACATTTTGACAACAACACAGGAGGAAGGCAATAATGACTTATTTTTGAAGAACTGAAGGTGTCACCAGGTCACCATGTTGACGACATGACATTGTGTCAACAACACGAGAGGAAGGCAATAATGACTTATTTTTGAAGAACTCAAGGTGTCACCAGGTCACCATGTGTCACCAGGTCATTTAACTTCTCTGAAAAAATGTGACAACATGACATTTTGACAACAACACGAGAGGAAGGCAAAAATAAATTCCAATCATACTTTATAAAGCATCATTTACAGGTATTTCATCGTCAGTAAATGAATCCTCATTATCGTTTAGTTCAACCTGTTTATATAATCCTTTCATTTCTTCTTTCAAAACATAACACCATGTTTGTTTACCATCTATTCTTATCTGTTTCCTATCACATTTATCCTTAATACTCATTTGAAAGTTTTTGTCTTTCATGTCTGATGGTTTGCAGAATAGAGCATTTTTACATGTCATACCTGCATTCAATTCATCATAATGTGTATTTATCCATACATCTAAAGGATTTGTTGATAATTCAATTAAATCTTGTTTGGCTTCAGTCATCGGAATGATTCGTACATTAAATGATGAAAGGTCGTAATTGATAAAATACGTCAGTAAATTATCATAAAATTCCTTTGTGCATGAATCCATCAAATTCTTGAAGTAATCAAATTGACCCTTGAATTTACCATTAACTCTTAAAACTACATATCTTCTGTCTCCAACTTCAATTTTGACAGGGTAAACGTTATTAGTTACGAAAATGAAATTGGCAACGTTCTGAGCAGTTCTTCTGGGTTGATTTTTTTCATTAATTCTTATCTCATTATCCGTTATAATTGATTTCAAAGCGTTGAAGTTTGCGAGTCTGTCTTCACCTACATTCTTGAGTTCATTAAGTACAAGAAACATTTTATTTTCAACTACTGAGTTGAAATTACCCGTTAACTCACTTATTTCAGTAATGTTTTTGCATGAATAACCAGCGAGGAGTTCAGAAATAATGTCTGTAAATCTGTTTTTACCTGTTCCCTGAAGTCCTTTCAAAATAATTGCTGTTTCATTCTTGATTCCAGGATGTTGAATCATTGATGCAATCCAGCCGAGAAGGTATTTATACACTTCATCGTTATTATCACAAATGGCTTCTTTAATGAAATCCATAAACATCTCAATTTTTGAGTAATCAGGCTTTTCGAGAACGTTGTATTTATAACCTTGAAACGTTGAGAAAACATCTGGGGAATCTGATTTAAAGCAAACACCCTTAACAGTTAATGAGGATAATTGATTTAGTAGTACGTCCCATGCTGTTATGGTTTTACCTTCTTCATTAAATAATTTAATCATTTTGAGTGACTCTTTCATGTTTGACTGAAGAACAAATGATATTTGATTCATTTTGTCGTGGATATTATAGTCCTTTTGAATGAAATATTTGTTTCCACAATCTACAAAACGGATTACACGTGATAAATCCTCAATTACTTCAGAACTGTTTTTATACTGATGATTTTCAGCCTTGCGTCTAATATCTGTTATCAAAAACGAGTCATCAAGTTTTATATCAAATGTTATTTTTGGCTTACGTAATAAAGGCAAAACATATTCATCATAATATTCCTTTTGATAAAGTTTTAGAATCTTCACCAAAACAAATGGAGAAGTCATTAAATATGCATATCTATCACGTGCTTTTTCAAAATTACTTTTTGCATTTTCTGTTAAACTGCAGAAGTTATAAACGTTATCGTAGGCTTCATTAATTAAATGATTAGGTAACGAATTAATAGCTTGAAACAGTGTGAATAATGTAACTTCTTTTTCTAAATTCATGTTTCCACCATTATGTACTTCAAAATCACAGATGCCATCAACTATGCTCTGGGCAAGTTTATCGTCAATGTTTACATCTTTGTTTTCATTCATGATAGTCTTTATTTCTTCATTCTTCTGTTCAACTCTTACCTTAATATTCAAATCATTTAATATATCATTCACTGTTCTAGTTAATGTTGAATCATAACTTCCACGAATGAATGAGTATGTATTGATTGGTTCTGTTGCATTCTTTCGAACTCTTGAATCAGCCATAACCACTAAAGAACGTTTTGAATCATCCATAGAAGTCATTATGTCAATATCATAATCATTGCAGGAATAACATTTAATCATTCTGTTCGAGGTTGAATAGAAGAAATTAGTGTTGCAATAAATGTGAAGACCTCCTGAAGCGGTTTTAACGATAACATCTTTATCCGAAAGTTTTGATAAAATGTCTTTTCTAACTGTTTCTTTAAGTTCATCATTGTATGATTTATTGATATCAACATCTATAATCGTTAAATTCGAAATTTTATTTACTAATAAAGCTGTACCAGTTTTCCTTCCTCTTCCTCCATCATATTTGAGGTAGTTATGTAAATCAATCTTGTTTTCATTAATTCTTTCGTTGAGGGTTTTAGTTTCTGCCACAACTAATTCCTCAACTAATGAATCAATAACTTTTTCATCAGAAACGATAAAGTTGTTGTTGTTGTTTGTTGCTGTCATTTATATAGGAATAAAAAAATAAAAATAATTTTAAAACTAACCTTATTTTTGGGCCGCATCATATTTCCGTCACTGTTGTCAAAATGTCATGTTGTCACTATTTTTTAAAGAAGTTAAATGACCTGGTGACACATGGTGACCTGGTGACACCTTCAGTTCTTCAAAAATAAGTCATTATTGCCTTCCTCTCGTGTTGTTGACACAATGTCATGTCGTCAACATGACAACCTGGTGACACCTTCAGTTCTTCAAAAATAAGTCATTATTGCCTTCCTCTCGTGTTGTTGTCAAAATGTCATGTTGTCACATTTTTTCAGAGAAGTTAAATGACCTGGTGACACATGGTGACCTGGTGACACCTTCAGTTCTTCAAAAATAAGTCATTATTGCCTTCCTCTCGTGTTGTTGACACAATGTCATGTCGTCAACATGACAACCTGGTGACACCTTCAGTTCTTCAAAAATAAGTCATTATTGCCTTCCTCTCGTGTTGTTGTCAAAATGTCATGTTGTCACATTTTTTCAGAGAAGTTAAATGACCTGGTGACACATGGTGACCTGGTGACACCTTCAGTTCTTCAAAAATAAGTCATTATTGCCTTCCTCTCGTGTTGTTGACACAATGTCATGTCGTCTCATTTTTTAAAGAAGTTAAATGACCTGGTGACACATGGTGACCCCCCCCCTCATTTATTCAAAAATTCTGTAATTTCATTAATGAGGTATGCTGAATTGGAGCTCAGGACTTTCAATCCGTGCGAAACCATGCATAAACTGTCATATAAGGCGGCATGTAATCTTTACTCTGTCCCGTCGTTTGTGTATATCCTGAAACATTATGTGTATGATTACCTGAACCCTGTGTATCGTTCCAGTAACAATTAATAGCAAATTTAACGTCATCTTTAACATCATATCCTTTACCTTTTGTCATTCCTGACCAATCCCAATATCTATGCTTATGCCATCCTGCTTCGGTTGTGTTTAAATTAACGTAATGACTGTGAGCAGGTAAATTTTCGCCCATAATTGTTTTACTTCCACCGGTTTGTTTTGATGAGTTTGTACAATATAAAAAACGATCGGTTATCTGCTGCCATGTACCAAATCCAAATAATGTTGATGGATTTGTTGAATTCATTGATGTATATATTGAACCAATGGGGTAAATCATTCAAACATTGTATTAACTCAGTATTAACCCATTCCTTATCTGCTTTCTTCTTTAACTCAGTATTAACCCATTCCTTATCTGCTTTCTTCTTTAACTCAGTATTAACCCATTCCTTATCTGCTTTCTTATTTAATCCATTATGAATATTGAATTTATTATATAATATTGAAATCGTGTAAGAAGTTAAAATTGGTATTGTCATCAATATTAACATATTATTTTTGAAAATTGCTTTTTTAACATCTTGAAATTTTGTGATTTCAGACCAATTTTTTCCATCACTACTGATATTTACTAAATCACCACATCCAAAAGCAATGAAATACCCATCAATATAAAACAAATTTGTAAATCTATAATTTCGAGTAAATTTTGGAGTGAATGAATAAACCAATTCCCAATTTGGTGTTTTCTCTGGATCCTGTGAAAAATCTTGTGATAAATAAATATGTCTGTTATAACTTACAGGATATGAATACAACATACTACCTGAAACAAGAACACAAACATTTGAAGCATAACATAAAGCTTCAATGTCTCCATCAGCTTGAAAAATTTGTTCAAAACGACCAAATGGTATTGAATATGATCTATAAATTTTATCATTTTGTAGGATAAAACACATGTTGTTAATGTAATACCATTTACTTGTATAATCAATTTTCAAATCTGATGACATCATACTAAACATATAATAATTTATCCCATCCTCACTAATGAAAATTTGATTGACTTCATAAATTAGTACCCATTTATTATTAACACATCTAATAGGATTATTTGGATATTTAAATTTAACATCTTGATTTAAATTACATTTGAACCATTGGATACAATCGAATGAATAACAAGGGCAAAAATCATCTCCAACCGTTATCATTCCCATAAATTTGCCGTTATTATATTCAACATAAAAAATTCTTGGATTAATGATTGGCTCTCGTGTATCAGGATTCAAAACGGATGGAGTAAATGATTCATAGTTTTTAAAATCATTTGTTTTAAAATAATAAAGCACTCCGCCTGTATAAAATAAATACATGGTCACTCCATCGAAACATAACCATTCAATATCTTCAAATGTTTTATCTGATGATTTCATAAAATTTAAAAATGGTGGGGTAAAATAGACCTCCGATTGTTTTATTTCTTCATTAACAAATGATATATCAGCTTTCTTTGCTAACTCAGTATTAACATATTCCTTATCTGCCTTCTTAATTAACTCATTGTTAACATATTCCTTATCCGCTTTAAGGTCTAAACATCCTGAAACCCATCCTGTATCAGCTTTAGTTTTTAAAATCTTTGATGTCCGTTCATGATACCATTCAACCCTTTCTATAATTTCATTATCTTTTTCATCCACATATTCCTTATCTGCCTTCTTCACTAACGCACTAGCCACATATGCTAACTCATCGTTAACATATGTTTTATCTGCCTTCTTCATTATGTCATTTAGGAAACCTTTTATGAATTCCTCATTTAAATTAAATCTTCCAATCTTCAAAACTTTAGGAAATGCATTTAATGCGTAATATCTCTGTTCTTCTGGTGGAATTGATGTTATATCATCCGTTATTCCTTTAATTTTAGAATTCATAAATAAAATTTCTTTTATATTTGATATCACCGCACCACCTTTGCAAACGAATTCAAAATGGTCATTTTTCAATACTATCTCCAAATCTCCATATTTCAACCTTTGCGTTTGTTCTGCCGTCTTTGAATTATATGCATATGTGGCGTATGTAATGGTCTGTGGTTGCTGTTGTTTAATCATTTATTACGATTTAAAAATAAATATTTAATCCGTTATCTCATCAGCTATTTTTTCTATTTGAAATTGCCATAATATTTCATTCATGAATTCTAAATCACAATCAAATAGGTCAGTTATTCTAAATTTAATATTTGATAAATCTTTTGAATGAAGAATAAATGAATTCCCGGATAATTGAAATGGATATGATAAAGAAAATATGTTTAAGTTGATGGATAAAATGTTTTGTATTGATGGGTAAGAGTTAGGGTCTAATGTTTGATGTGAAAATCTCATTGGGGTATTAACTTTATCACATTTGATTAAAATGAAATTGGAACCAGTGTCAGAATACAAAACATCCCCAACATCTTTTTCAAAATTTAATATCCCCAACAATGAACGAAGACGAGGAGTACAAAATTTAATTTTCAGCGGAAATTTAATAAGGTTATTTATTTCATCAAGTTCAAAAAGTTTATCAGGTTTTGATTTAAAATTTTCTTCATACCATACGATAAATGATTCATTTAAATAACTTAAAATTGTGTTAATATCCCATCACTATCACATTATTTATATACATATCATACGTTTTTTCATGGTCATCTTTAATAAATGATATATAATCTGAAGGGTCTAAAAGAATGGGATTAAATTTACCACTCACAGAAACGAGAGTAACATTATAAATTCCACTAACTGTTAAATTTAATTCACAGTTATTATTCGAAATAATATTGATAATTGACATTTTTATTACGATTAAAAATATGGTAAAGCGTTATTTTCCAGTGATAAATAAAACTAGAATAAGATTACCTCAAGAATTCATAAATTCAACGAATAAGAAATTCATTCATGTTATAAATTTTAGTGTTTTCAGAAAATATGAGTCGATGTCATATTCATCATCAGGTTATATTTCACTTCATTCAAATTTAGTTCAATCAAACCCATATAATGACCATTTCATAAGATTTTCAGATGGTATTAAAAATGTAATTGATAGATTAAAATATGAACAGATTGACAATATCGAATTTTTGGAATTTTGGTTTAAATATCCCGATGGAAAAAAGATTGAAGTTAAAGATAAAGCAGATACTATAACAAAAACAATTACAATGACTGATCCGGATAGTGGGGAACAAAAAGAAATAAAACAAACGATAGAAACTGGTGAAAGGTCAATTATTATCGATTATGATTCAAAGGATTATTATTCGATAATGTTAATGCTTGAATATTAAATAGCCTTAACAAAGAATTTTTCAAGTGATATTTTATATTCATCAACTATTTTATTATAAATATCATTATATGTTAAATGAAGTTCAGTTGTTGTTCCGTTCTTTGATATCTTAATTGTGCTAATATCCTTTATAGGATTTATTTTTGCAACTGTTCCGCAGCATGAAACCTCATCATCTATGA